CGGTCTGTAAATAATCGAGTCTGGACCAGACAATCCAGTGATTGACATCATTAGCATCAATCCTAGCAATTGAGATCGAAGACATGCATCAAACGAAGTCAGCGAGCCTGACAACCCGATCCCGTAAGTCGCCTCTTACGACAAGGATAGTCGCCTTAAAGTCACTAGAAGATCAGACAGTCTGCACAATTAAACATCACTGTAATACATTATAACAGTCCGTACAGCAGCAGAACCACAAAGTGGCGTTTCATTTCCATGAATCACTCACTGAGGATTAGAACAGGCCACAAATAACCTATGCTTGTCAGAGGTGTCAGTCTGATTAATTAAAGGACGCCGTAACAGGGCTGGAATAATACTGCCCGACAAACATTAAACCACAAACATTACATATCAAACTGTCGTAACATATATGTGCCAAGCGCTATCACGGGACATGAAGTAAGACGTGGGCGATCGTTGATGTGTCAACATGGCGTCACGTGACACCTCTCTGATCTTCAGATAGTGAACAACAGGTAAACAGTCTGCCTAACGGGCTCAATGCATTGTCATATATCCATTTACGGCAGCATCTTGTTGCTGATAAAACACTTTCACCTGTGAGTGAGCGAGCTTGGTTTAACGCTGCTTTAGAGTGAGTGAGTGAGTGAGTGAGAGAGTGTGTATGGTTTTACGCCGCTTTTAGCAATATTCCAGCAATATCACGGCGGGGGACACCAGAAATGGGCTTCACACATTGTACCCATGTCGGGAATCGAACCCGGGTCTTCGGCATGACGAGCGAACTCTTTAACCACTAGGCTACCCGACTGCCCCCACACTGCTTTAGACAGTATTTCAGTTATATTGGGCAGCTTGTACGGGCAAACTCCGAAGAGATGCGAATCTATTGACGTCTGCTCCTGTTTTGAAGCCAACTTGCAGGGGAATGGTGCTGAAAACCTAGGAACATAACCTTTGTGCTGTTGTACAAAACAACCTTGGCGCTGAGGTGATCGTAAGTCTATGTTAAAGAATGGGAGTTTGGATCACCTAAGATCCCCTTGTACAACGGCACCCAGGGCGAACTGGAATCGAATCGAATTTGTAACAGGCATTGTGATCGCAACACTGTACAGCATATTGTTGCGCCTTAGACGACTGTGCCATCCGTACCCCAATCCCACTACATATGTCTCACCCGTGAAGATCCGGGGTAGAATAGGTCTTCAGCCACCCATGCTTGCCGTAAAAGACGACTAACGGGATCGGGTGGTCAGTCTCGCTGACTTCGTTGATCTATGTTATCGTTACCCAATATCGTGGATCGATGCTCATGATGTCAATCGTTGGATTGTCTGGTCCAGACTCGATTATTTACAGACCGCCGTCATATAGCTGGAATAACACCACTTATGCCAGACATTCAGGAAAATGTCAGATCGTTGAGTAAATAACAGACCAATGAATGAGCATGTATATACAAATTTAAAAAATGGATGCATTTCCATTTTATAAAACTTCGTGGATTTTTCCGAGGTAGAATTATCCCAAAAAACTATGCTTGTTTCAAAAGTCGTATTGGTCGATTGCGGGTCATCGTACCCCGACTGTGTGGGGCGTTGCTTATAATATCAACTTAGTTGGTCTGATTCAGCGTCGATGTATTTACCTGTAGCCGTGATCTGACGGGAATGTTGCTGCGTGTCGCGCAATCAACAAAGAAACAATTTACCCTGTTTTGCACTCTGGCTACACTCGCCGCCATTCGCTATCTCTCTAGCTTTAGATAAGATAAAATGCTCCTTCACACTGTTTCTGCCTCACAGTCCCTGAACGATATTACTTTCCCGCCCTTAATGAAGCAAGTCTAGATTAACTCAGATTCCCCATGTCACTGGCGCTCCTTTTCAATTTATATGGAGTTATTTGGTTGTCAAAATGATACTTTTTCAGAGACTAAGCGTTAGTCAACTTCACACTGATAAGTTTTCAACGATTTCTGATATGTTTCAGCAGTAAATATAGATATTGCTCTTTGAATAAAAGCTTTCTGTTTTTGTTTAGACGAGATAAACAAGATTGAAATAAACGTTCTGTTTGGAAATCTTCCTTAAATGTCAAAGAGTTGTGCAAGGGAGGAATGCAGACTTGCTTACGAGCAGGTGCTCGTGATTGTGCGATGGCGTGGAGGGCAGCACGTGCATCACAGACTGCACGTGGGCATTGAAACGAGGTCGTGTTCAGAGCGGAGTGACATTAGTTTTTTCGGCTTCTCCGAACTTTCAGTCATTGGCGAGTAACCGCTTTTTGCAACACTCCAGAAATATCACAGGGGGTGGGGTGGGGTGGGGGTGGTTGGGTGACTGGGTGGGTGGGGGTTAACCCGAAATGGTCTTCACAGTTTCTACCCATGTGAGGAATCGAACCCGGGTCTTCGACTTGACGAGCTGGAGCTTAAACCACGAAGCGCCAACGCCCCTCTGTGATTAGACTATAATGGACCAGTGAAGATCCGGTTTAGAATAGGTCTTCAGCAATCCGTGCTTGCCGTGAGGGGTGGTCAGGCTCGCTGACTTGCTTCATGCATGTCATCGTATCCCAACTGCGTGGATCGTTGCTAATACTGTCAATGGTTGGGATCGATTATTTACAGACCGCCGTCATATAGCTGGAATATTGCCGAGTGCGGCGTTAAACAACAAACAAACAAAAACTAGACTATAATGTAAAGTCTTCCCATTGTTGTTCGCACGATCCATCATAAGCATACAAATAAAGGGTCAAGTCAGTAGGTTTGTTTTATTTTGGGGTTAATTGTTAATGGGTTGATGGTCCTCCGAATGAATGCAGTCGCTGGCTGGCTACCAAGTAAAATCAACATGACTGCATATCACCGTATCCTGCAGATGACGTTAACATGACTTATATTATCGACCACTTGTTTACCTCATCCAGGCTCGAACCAGGCCGTTAAGAGCGTAGTGTTATTTAAGAAGTCGAGGGGTTTACTCACGTACAGCGAACAATGCACGTGGTATGATATGAAAGGTTCCCGAGATTAAATAGATATTAACATTAATGTGTTCTAATAACGTCGTGACATTGTTGATAGCAGGCACCTCCGCGGTACCAAGTTCGTGGTGCATTTTGATATGACATTGACAGATTTATGAGAACAGAAACGCAATATATTCATTGAGATCCGTCTGCACTTCCTTGAACAGATGTACTGCAACCCACGCCTGGGTAAACACAATCCCAGAAAAAAAGGGCAATTGCCGTTTTCGGTTAGATGGAATGGTTGAATATATATAGTTGCCTTTTAGTGCAGTTTGTTATTTACTGTTTTGTTTGTTTCTTTGTTGTTTAACACCATATTCCAGCTGTATGACAGTAGCCTGTAAATAATCGAGTCTGGACCAGATTAATCAGCCTTGTTTCTGTCTGTTTTTTGTGTGTTGAAAACAGTGAACACAGCGTGACGAGGGTTTGGCTCGGTCGACGGCATGGGGGACGTTGCAGGCGTTGTTGACACACACACACACGCACGCACGCACGCACACTCACACACACGCACGCACACGCACTCACACACACACGCGCACACACACGCGCACGCACGCACAAACACGCACGCACAAACACGCACACACACACGCACGCACGCACGCACAAACACACACACGTAAGTTTACAGAAATATATGCGTAAAAACTGGTAAGTAAATATCTTTATTAAATTGGTCGTAATTTCGTCAAATCAACAATATATCAAAATATCAACAAATGAAAACGTCATGGGTGTTTCTGGTTTTCCGCCGCATCAGCGATATTCCAGTTATATCACAGTGTCATGTAAACCGTGTTCAATCTGGACCAGCTAAACTAGTGGTTTATTATCTCGGGCTACGTCTCGCGTATGCGAGGAACGACGACATGCAGTCAGACCACCCGATCTTCAGTAGTCGGCTCTTACCCCTGGGTCAGGCAGCCATCGGTAGGTTTGTGTTGGCGGCCTCTTAACATACTGAGTACTGTTTAGCATTGATGCTTTGTCAAACAGGACTCTTAAACGAATGACAGTCAAAATTCACAACCGACACCCTTCTCGATTGCAAATATATATTGTTGGATATCTCACTAAAAGCTGGGGTTTTTTTCGTTGACGGATTCACATCAGAACACTAAAAGTTGTCTGACATGTCATAAACCCCACACACGACGCCATACATTGTTGTCTGCATACACTCAAGGTTAACTTTGAAGGCGCGATTACTTCCGTATGTTGAGTACTGTATATAGAGAAATAAGAAAATGTTTTCGAGATAAATTATACACGCTTCTGAGGCCATGCTTATTATGAGAAATTTCTGTGTACAGTAAACTACGTTTATAACGAACACGCTTTTAACGAACTGATGGATATAACGAACTTACTTTTTTGTCCCGACTATCTGCTGTATTATGCTGTATATATGCTTATAACGAACTACGGTTATGACGAACTAAAATTAGTGGTCCCTTTGAGTTCGTTATAACCGTAGTTATACCGTATTTTGTGTTGCACATTCCTTATTGCATGTTTTGTTGGTTTATTTGTTGTTTAACGCCGCACGCAGCAATATTCCAGCTAAAAAAAGGAAACCGACATTATGTTTGTTTTTGGAAACTAGCCGAAACGACTTAAATTATCTATATGTATTTGAATTGCAAGCATTCGCCTTTCTTCTCACAGGTTTGTAAACCTCAAGGAAAACCTCGTTTGTATACGATGCGCAATACTGACGATTCAGTTTACATCGCCATGCTGCCGTATACATTTACCACCTACATAATACCGTTTTTCATGGATGTGAAGTGACACGGAATAAAAGTTCACATCAACCTGTAAAGGCCCATCAACGTTAGTCTGTCACAGGGAGGTCTTATATTCCGCTTGTGTGTATGTATTACACGATCTGTCATGCTCATACGTACATATCCAATCGAAAGTGACCTCCCCGTTCAGAGAGCCAGCAACCCGACTCATCCAACCGAACACACCGTGTTGTAGCGCTGAAGCAGACGACATTGTACGACAGGAGAGTAAAGATGGCTGCACAGTCGACTGGAAGTTTCATTAAGAAGGAGATCCTCTCTCATGACCACGACCATGCAGGTCCCCCTGATGGTAGCCGAGTGGTTGTGGTGGCCGTTGATGGGAGCCACCACTCCGAGTTTGCACTTGACTGTAAGTTGAAATGCTGCATTTTCCCATCGGGCTAACGTTCATTGTTTGGTAATGTGAAGGCTTTGCTTGTAGTAGCTGTATTTTTCTGTTGTGGAACGACCCAGATCATGTTCATGTTTACATTGTTCACGAAAGCTAGCTGTGGCGTCATCTGGTCATGGTGAATGTTCTAGTTTATGAATGCCAAGTCATGTGCAGGTGGGATTATATTAAGGTTTGATGGAGTCATCAAGCGCCATATATACTATCTTGTTTCTCATATAGGTGCCCAAACGTTCGCGTTCCAGACACTTTTCAACGCACAAGTAGAATTATATTCTGCTTTCATAAAAATAAAATAAAACAAGAACCCAACCCTATTTCATTCTCTTAAAAAGAGAAATGGGAAGTGTTTGTGACCTTAAAGAAGAATGATGCTTATGTCTATGTGTTCTTTACCAGTCTAGACGATGTATCATTTGCCATGTGAAAAACAGAGTCTTGGTTTATGAGGCTAATCGAAAACTGCTCGGTTATTATACATTGCAAAATTTGCTTTAGCAGACTTAATGCAGACTTGTTTGGACTGCAAACTGGCCCGAGCATATATATACCTCGTTTTAAGATGATGCGCATTTGGCAAATTCAAGAAAAGGTCGATAATGCATACGACTTTGTTCTTAACGTATACAGTAACTGCCATAGCACTCGTCGAAAGTCAGTTTTACATTCAGCCTTGAGTTCCAGATGAAGGGTACAACGTTTTATGCCAGTTGTAAAGTTGTGGTTTAGATTCATGAGGCATGTCAAATCTTACTGCCTCGGGGTAAAACGTCCCGTTGAATGGCTTTCATTGGGTGTTATCCTTGACATCTGGGACATTTGTGGACTTGGTCACTGTCCTAGTGGAACAGGTTTTACCATTTTGAAACAAGTTCGCCATTATAACTCGAACTTAAATGCTTTCGAAAGGGAGAGAACTGCAGAAATGTAGTAACATAGTAAATATTTGATAATTATTATATAATTTGATCAGGCTCTAACATCGGGAATAATGTTTCTGGAACGTGAATCTCTATATATCTTCTGTGATAGCAATGGCAATCTTCAGTTTTTTAACTTTTAAGTAGTTTGTCAGATTCCTTTACAAATCGTTTACGACAAAATTAACAATTATTTGTAATACTGATTTCATCGTGGAAAATAGCTAGCTCGACTTACCTTGGTTTATCATCTTGATCGGTTTTGAGACCTACGATTAAGTTATATGCATCTATCACAGCACAATTAGTGTATGTTATAATCACCGAACGATAAAAATGATTTCCTTCAAATGGAAAATTGTGATGATGATATTTATAGAAACACTTTCAAAACTCAGTGATTGATCTAGACCAGTTCTGAGGCCGATATTCGGCCCTAAATCTGTAAATAACAAATTCCCAAACTGGAATTAAACAATCCCAATTCATGTTTATATAAATAACTGGTAACTAATTTCATGCTTAGGTCATATTATTGCATTGAATGCAGTATTTAAACACAATGTTTAAACTCCTCTGAATTTAGGGAAATAAATACTTCAGAAAAGTCCAAATATTGAACAAAATAACGATTTGTTCCCAATTTGCCTGCGGGGGTATCTGAGTTTAGTATACTGGATAAGTCCCTGAAACCTGTACTGTACAACTATGAATCAGCTGGTTAGCACCATACAGCTAGTGTTAGCAGTTAATCACGAATAAAGTTATATTTTGTCAGATGATCATAATGATGTCATTTCTCTCATGCATCACTTGTTGATGGCATGAATGGGCTTTAATTTATTATTGCTATTTGGACGATCAAAATGGGTCAGTGGATGCAATTAAGTCCTATTCAAAAGTAATCATCATTTTGATGTGGCATGCGCAGTTAAAACAAATTACCTCAATGATCACTTAAATGTTATGCGTACAAAGGTCCCAATTTACTCGCTGTGAAGCCACTATTATGTAATGCATGTTTAGATTAGATAGGAATTCCAGGTTTATGATATAACTTGTTGACGTCCGTGATAAGTCCAGGCCACAGCTGTATTGCCGACGCATATAGGTGTCGTTGTTTAGGCATACCTATCACAAATCCAGCGGTTGAAATCTCACCAGAGAGCACACTGTCCCCAGTTTGACCCCCGACCCTCTTTACGCTAAGCTGATAGCCTTTGTTATCCCGGTTTATATTGCTCCATAATTGATGTATTGCAATGTTTGATTCACAATATCTTAAACGAAAGAAGAATATATTATTATGTTTTTTCATTTACATTTGCATTGCATGTTGATTCATTATAGTTGTTACTATAAGCTTGTGAAGACTTTCTAAGCTGTCAACGGAAAGCGTCGTTGCATCTCTTAACCTATTTCTGGTACAATGACAATGCCTCATGCAGTGGATTAATGTAAGACGAAACAGGTCAAAACAGAACGCCGACCTTGGCGTTGACTAATTCCCCACATGTATGTTAAACAAAGGTCACGTGAACATAGAAGGGTCCGTATGCTTGAAAAGTACTTGAAAGTCGTAATGCCCCTTCTATTTACCTAACAGTGGGAAAGTGTTCGCTTTCCGGCATAGGAGTCCGGTTCATTATAACAAGATCGAACTTATGTGTGGCATTGTTTAATAAATGTTTAAAGCAGAATGAACCCCGACCGACAAGGGTGTTTTTCATTTCTACTATGCAGGTATTGACAACAGGGTAAACATTTGTTCAAAAGTGAACAGACTGGTTTTCTTTGAACTCTGCAGAAGGGCATTCCACTGTCCGGGCCAGGCCAGTCGATGATTGACTGCTGGTTAATAATATGTTATGATATTCATGCTAGCTCAAAAGAAACTGTTAGTTATGTTTATAGTATCCCCCAAGTAGGTAGGATGAAACTGATATATTAAGATGACATCAACCTGAACTATATTTGCTGTTTACATATCAAAGTTTGGTACATTGTTATAAAATGCTTAAAGCCACAGCAAGGCACAATATAGCTGGACAGAGGGGACCTTCTCTTCGCCCATCAGTTAACAGTAAACATAAGGTTTATTCAGTCCAGGACCTGTATTGCGGGGACAGTTTGCTTTGTTGTTTAACGCCGCACTCAGCAATATTGCAGCTATATGACAGCGGTCTGTAAATAATCGAGTCTGGACCAGACAATCCAGTGATTGCTATCATGAGCATCAATCCACGCAATTGGGATCGATGATATGTATCAACCAAGTCAGCGAGCCTGACCACCCGATCCCGTTAGTAGCCTTTTACGACAAGCATAGTCACCTTTTACGGCAAGCATAGGTTTCTGAAGACCTATTCTATCCCGGAATCTTCACGGGTCATTGCGGGGACAGGCTTGACACGGATGGTTGGACAACTACTGCAGGGTGCTGAGGGCAGTGAACTGATGTGCAGACATATGAGAAAGATAATTTTACTGCAAACCCTTATTCCACAAAGAATGCGTTCCATAACAATTCGGCAGTCGTTTGTTAATATAATATGTGTATCGCTGGCATGTATACAATTTCCTCAGACCATTCCTGGTGTCAAGCAACGTGATGGGGCTGTTATGAAGCCTTATGACACCTGACATAGCAGTCTTGTTCGATTCCACACATAACTATCAATGCGGACCACATACTTTCACAAAGAATTCGTTCCATAACAATTCGGCTGTCGTTGTTATTACGTTTGTTATTATAATATGTGTAAGGCTGGCATGTATACAATTTCCTCAGACCATTCCTGGCGTTAAGCAACGTGATGGGGCTGTTATATAGCCTTATAACGCCTGATGTAGCAGTCTTGTTCGATTCCACACATAATTATCAATGCGAACCACATGCTTGGTGTCCTTCGTCGTAAGAATACACTCGCCGATAGAAAAGTGTTCAACGGTACTTATCCAACTTTGATATACACTATAGTGACACGGCGTCCTATATCCATGCAATCGATGCTTGTTACTTTTATGTTAATGCAGATTAAACCAACGCCTTACGCAGCACAAGGGGCGGTCGGGTAGCCCAGTGGTTAACGCGTTTGCTCGTCACGCCGAAGACCCGGGTTCGATTCCCGACATGGGTATAATGTGTGAAGCCAATTTCTGGTGTCCTACGCGGTGAATTTGCTGGAATATTGCGAAAAGCGGCTTAAAAACATACTCTCTCACTGACGCTGCACTGTCTTTGTAACTCATGCATTCTCACGTCTCTATACTCATACCCACATTCATGCATCCCTAACCTCTCTCTCCCCCCCCCCCCCCCCCCCCCCCCCCCCAGATACACATGCACCTCACTGTGTCTATATCGGTTCTCGTGTATCAATACTCATGCTTACATACATATACGCCCCTCCCCACCATAACCCTACATCATCTACGCCAACCCTTGTGTATCCGTACTCACATGCATACACTCACTGACACCTCTCGAACCTTTCCCCACCAACATCCATCTCACTGTATCTACGCCAACCCTTGTGTATCCGTACTCACATGCATACACTCACTGACACCTCTCGAACCTTTCCCCACCAACATCCATCTCACTGTATCTACGCCAACCCTTGTGTATCCGTACTCACATGCATACACTCACTGACACCTCTCGAACCTTTCCCCACCAACATCCATCTCACTGTATCTACGCCAACCCTTGCTTATCCGTACTCACATGCATACACTCACTGACACCCCTCGCATCCTTCCCCACCAACATCCATCTCACTGTATCTACGCCAACCCTTGTGTATCCGTACTCACATGCACACACTCGCTGACACACCTCGAGCCTTTCCCCACCATACCCCAACATCCATCTCACTGTATCTACGTCCGTACTCATGCTTCATATCTGTACTAACGTGGAAGAAGCTGCTGTTTACAACAGTAAGACCTTATCTGAGGACCAGGTATTCCATTGCCTTTAAAGTTGTACAACCTCCGTGACATTTTGCTTAATCCATGCCTGGACGTTACGCTACCACGTGTGCAACTGTAACAATGTGCCTCAGACAAACCTTGACTTATATTTATCTACATAATATATTTTAAGTGAGCAGGGAAAGAAAGCAGGTTTTGTAAGATTTGAACCAACTTCCCAGGATTGCCAGTTTTCTTGACCCTAGCACCCCTTTAAACATAGTAATATACGATAAGACAATAGGTTATTAGTGTGTCACATGTCAAAGGCTATACTAAAATTAATACAATTTTATTTAACCAAAAATAGCTGCACCGTCCGGCCAATAAGTCCCATGCGACACAATCGTATCATTAATAATACAGTACTCCACGTGCTGAAATATCAATACATGTTAGCACTAATAAAATATTCCTAGATATTGACATTTTACAAAACCATTTATTATTTATTTCAACTAAGATAAGAATGTGTGCGTGTATTTATAGAGCTAATGAGAAGGCTGACATTTCCTACGGTTAAACATGGCAAAGACAAACGATAACTTTTCACGCTGCATTAAAGAGGCGAATTGGAGTAGGAATGAAGGGCGGCGTTAACCAGTCGAGAGTAGCCAGTACTCCATTTGAGGTGTTAAATCGTGATCAGATGTACCCATTCCGGGAGGGTCGTGCCGTAGATAGACACTATGTTTAGTACCCTGACACTTTGGGACTTGCGGACAAGCCGTGGCTAGGCCAGTGGTTAACCGTTCTGGTGTCCAATATATAACTTTGAGTACAATGTTGACATGGGGTTAGAACTACAATTAGGGCTTCTGGTTCAGAATATAAACAAACAGCTTTACCGGTCTGTGTGTCTCCGAGATGAGTAACGACAAAACTCGTGAAGATCCAGCTCCGAATAGGTCTTCAGCAAACCATATTTGCCGTAAAAGGCGACTATGCTTGTCGGTGGCAGCAATGTGGTACCTCCATCAGTTCTTCTTTTCTCCCACACTAAATTGACACGCCGTGATATAACGGAAATATACTAATCGGCGTTAATTCAAAATCACTCAAGCACTCACTCAAGCACTAATCCCACGTTCACCCCGTGATGGTCCGAGTTAGAATTGGTCTTCAGAAACCCATGCTTGTCGTTAGAGACGAATAACGGGACCTAGTGGTCAGTCTCGCTGTCTTGGTAATTGCATAATCGTTTCCCAATTGCCTGATTCCAAAATCGTGATATCAATCACTGGATTGTCTGGTCCAGACTTGATTAATTACAGATGGCGTCAAACAGCTGGAATATTGCTGAGTGCCGCGTTGAACATCAAACAAAACAAATCCAAATCCAATGTTCGTGTCTGTTGCAGTCTACTTGTCGAACCTGAAGAAGTCCAACGACTACGTGGTCCTCCTCACCAGTCCGGAGATGGAGGACATTCTGAAGGCCACGTGGAGCCAGAGTAAGTGACAATGGGGAGTAGTCGTTGACGTATGTTGACAATTGCCTCAACCTTTAATTGAGTGGTAAACTCAAACATGTTTGCAACAACAAAAATTGTTTATTTTATTCGGGAATTTTTTAGGCATACTACGTACACGTGTTCAATCCAAAATATAATGATAGACTTACACAAACAAAATTGAGAAACACCATACAGAAGTGGTCGTTTTTACCCTGGCCGTACTATATTGTTCCATTTCACATTATGGTTGTAAAGTTTATCAGTTTTCAAAGCAATCGTATTTTCAATATCACATATCTGTTCAAGTACAATGATCATATTATAAAATCTGGGTGTTTTTTTCTTCTTTCTCTTATAGTGTGGATATCAGTCTTAGTAAGTAAACATGTATATGTAATTAGTTTTGATTAAGTGTCCCAACCTTTCCAAATATGAAGTATATTGAAAAAAGTGTACAATTCAAACATCTGAAAAAACTATTTCAATACAATAATATAATGTAAATAAGTACATTTCAAGTACCCCACCAGCCCGTTTTACTTGGGACTTTGACTTTGCTAGAACGCCTGTTTGTATTGGTCAATGTATTTTTATCATGTTTTAACCTACCAACCGACCAATAGCTGTCGACAGCTGCAATCTGACATATGCAGGAAACAGGCATCTGACTTAATATGACTGTATTTAATTAAGTGTACATGCTTAGAGTTTGTTCTTGACAATATGACAAGTAAATTGATAATAAAACAAACCTGCGGGCGTTTTGAGACGCATCGTTTCATAAACACAACAAAGGCGATTATGATTTGTAAAGAATTACAATACATTTCTCAAGTATAGTACTCCAGAGAAGTTAAAGAACTCCTGTTTTTTTCATATGACTGTAGTTAATCTATGGTGAGGTGAGGTGAGGTGAGGTGAGGTGAGGTGAAATGGGGTTTAAAGTCGCATCCAAGAGTATTGCACTTATATAGCGACGTGTATGTGTGGCTGCTTGTACTAGTCCGGACTGATGCCGATTTATAGTGCTAGCACACTGAGATACCATGCCGCAGTTTAACCTGAATACCCCACTCAGACACAGTTTGCTGACTCCGAGCCGACCACTCCTTGTTTTAGCCCCTTAATGCCGAGCACCAGACTGGGTAACAACAAGTACAATCTTTTAACGTCTTTTGGTATGACGCGGCCGGGGATCGAACCCCGGACCTTCCGCCCTCCGGGCGAACGCTCTACCATATAGACCACGGAGGCGGTCAGTTAATCTATGGCATGACATGACATGGTATGACAGATTAACTATAGTCATAAGAAAAAGTCGGGTGTTCTTTAACTTATTTGGAGTAGTAAACTTGAGAAATGTAGATAAATGTTTGTAGGTCGCGTGAGAGTCATACCGCTATGCGATAAAAGATCATAATACGAGATTATAGCTATGCATAGGTAATATGCAAGGTATATATCATGTATCGGTAATAAACCGTATACTTGTAATACTAGACAAACATCTTTTATAGTCATAAATCAAGACAAGTATCTTGTGACGTTATTAACATTTCCACTTGAACTTTCAAACGTGTATAAATCCTGTTTAGGTATCGCGTGAATGATAAATGGCAAATGGTAGATGAGTTTCAAATTCATCGTCAGTCGATGATTGTATTATCACACATCAAACTATGCTTTAAATAACCAGGAAGTAATCATTGGACTGACAGAATCAGCCAATATGTAAAAGAGTCGAGGCTGAGGCTGGGTCACCGCTACCCATGCTTGTCCTTAAAGGCGACTATGCTTGTCGTGTAGGACTGTGCTACTAAAGGGATCGAGATCCCAATTGCGTAGATCGTTGCTCATGATGTCAATCACTGGATTGTCTTGTCCAGACTGGATTATTTACAGATTTCTGTCATATAGCTGAAATATTGCTGAGCGCTGCGTTAAACAACAAACAAACAGTCCGCTGGAACTCATTTAGGCAGAGTTGCGTCCCTTCTAGGCGTGCCAGAAACCTATTATCGTTAGTTCGAATCCAAGCTTCTCTCACATTATGTCTCTTGATTTGTTAGCACCACACCCGTGCTCGCGGGTTTACCCTAAGCAGTAATCGTCTAATACCAGAATTAATTCGGGCTTCCTCTCACATCAAGCCGACACGCCGTGGTATAACTGAAATACTGTTCAAAGCAACGTCAAACCAACCTCACTCACTTTAAGCACTATGGGTCTCCTAGCCCCATATTTCTTAAATCCGCCCTTTCATTTTTACAGGCAATGGGGTGGACATGTACGGCGATACAGACATCAATACAAATGATAATACTATTGTATCACTTCATAATTTTTTTATTTATATTGCGCCGTTCTCCACACCATAAACCGTTCTCATTGTGTTACTGAAATTAGGAACCAGTATGTGATAGTCAATTTGTGTTAGGGCAGTATACGAACAAGGGCGACCTAGAACCAATAATATTGTAATAAGTCATTTAAGTCATTCAAACTTGGCTTTTACATCACTTGTCTCCCCAAACCGTATGTTTGAAAATAAACATTTAAATGCAAAAACAATCAATTTTGCTGTTTCAAGAGTTTAATTGTTTACGCCTAATTTACATACTATTGTTTTTTTGTTTCGGAATTCCCCCCTTTTGCTTTAGAAATAGTTCTGACACTCATTTCAGTATCACATTCTCTCCTGCAAATTGTCCTTTTGTTTTCGTTGAAGCGATAACACTGAATGAGCGAGGGTTAGATTTAAAGGTCTAACATCTATGTCGTCCCAAACAATACTTCTAACAGACCAGGCAATGGTTCGCGATTTATGCTGAGCCATTCGACCTATCCTTGAGCTTCAGGAACCATTATGTTTGAGTTTGATTCCCGTGTGTCAAAACAAGACCGAACTCGTGGGTTTTGTTAAAGTCACTTTGAGATTCTATCTGAAGTTGAGGTGCCGTTCCTTGACGAAATACCCCGCTCATTCTAATGTGTATCTTCCTCTACTCAGGCGGGTATACTGTAGACACGGATCACATTGCAAACCATCTGGCCAAGGAGAGGGAGAAGGTTGAAGAGAAACTCCATTTCTTCAAGGAGAAGATGCTGACCAGAGAGGTACGTTTACACGCCATTACCTGGCCATGGGGTAACGCCGAAGGCCTATGTTCGATTCTCTGCATGAGTACAATATGCTCAGCCCATTTCTGCACCTCGCCGTGATTTGGCTGTAGCATTGCTTGTAGAGGCATATACCGGATTTACTCAGTCACTCACTACACGCAGGTACACATGGTGTTATGAGGCGGTCGGGTAGCCTAGTGGTTAAAGCTTTCGCTCGTCACGCCGAAGACCCGGGTTCGATTTCCCACATGGGTACAATGTATGAAGCCCATTTCTGGTGTCCCCCGTCGTGGTATTTGCTGGAATATTGCTAAAAGCGGCGTAAAACAATACTCAGTCACGTGAGATACATTCATTAAAGCGTAAAATTCTCACGGTCTCGTGATCAGGCAGTGACATGGCCTCGTCAATCTCCGCGTATGTCTGTATCCAGTTGTGGGTATTTTTTCATTTGTTAGCGTGTGTTACAATCAATGTGTTAAATGAAAAATTTACAAAACGCCAAAATATTTGCAATTATATTTCCGTCATTTTGACTCAAAGTTATTAAGAAGGTAAAGGCGTTAAAAACATCACAGGAGACTAATTATTTTAGGATTAGGAGCCAAACAAAATATTTAAATGTACATCACTTTCAGTCACTGGGTGATGAAATAGAGCCTATAAATATTTCAAATTCGTTATCATAACATCTTAAATGGAAATATATTTGTAAAATGACGTTTTGTGAATTTTATTTTAGACATTGACTGTGACATACACACATCTATACACATCGGTTAGTGTATACACATTTATACACACCTGTAGACACATGTACAAGTAATGTACGTATGCTTTATCTCTCTGTAGATGCGCGGCAAGGTTAAGGCAGTTTCGTCCCACAATCCGGGTGACGCCATCTGCAAAGGTGCTGAAGAGGAGGATGCCGACTTCATCGTCATTGGCTGTCGCGGTCTCGGCGCCATCAGACGCACCTTTCTCGGCAGCGTCAGCGACTACGTCCTTCACCATTCCCACATTCCTGTCGTCATCTGCCGGCACAAACATAGTCACGAGCATCATGCCAACATCGGGCACAAATGGAACCTGTGATAGCATCACTGTATCCATGGCCACCAGAGACCGGAATATGTGTAAATAGTGACATTTGACTATTAAGATTTATATCCTCACAATACTTATTGTGGAATGTATAATCGGATTAAAATACGTATACAAAAGTATTAACTTGAATATTGGACCAGTTGATGTTGTACCACCAAATAAACCTGCCGAATCGGGCCTGTGTGTGCTTCATTGAGAACAAACTCAATAAGATAAGCTTTACACTACAGCAGAGAGTGACGGAAACCGAGAAGGACGTTTTTGAGGGATGTATTGGTGAAGAAAAAGATGTATTATTAAACTTTTTTAATTACTTGCACCGTGCGTCTGTTGTATTTTGTGCACATATATGACGTATTAATATATTACTCAAAAAAAGTTAAGTACCACCCGATAATTTGCATTACTATAGCTACTCTGTCGTGACGTGACACATTAACTATAGCAATATGAAAGAATCGAGTGATCCTTAAATGTGTTTGTGTAATATATGACATTAACGATAGCAGCAAACATTACTGCATTTCACTTCAGAATAGTTCAGGGCGGTGGGGTAGCTTAATGGTAAAAGCGTTCGCTCGTCACGCCGAAGACCCGGTTTCGATTCCCGACATGGGTACAATGTGTGAAGCCCATTTCTGGTTTCCACCGCCGTGATATTGCTGGAATATTGCTAAAAGCGGCGTAAAGCCCTACTCACTCACAGAATAGTTTAGATGCGAAAGAATATAATTTGCTGGTCAAAATGATACGTGTACTTTTAACGCAGTCGTACCTGTCTAAATGTCAGGGTTGACAGAGGAATCTATTACAAGAGTGATACATCTGACATGTTGCACACACTATTCAATACACGATACATTGCATACGTCATTAGAAGGGGTCTGAAGGGTTCTTGACGTCACGCGCATGCGTGTCATGCTGCCAAAGTCACCTTAACCAACTGTTTCAGATTTATGGCATTGTACTCCTGCTAACCCTGCGCATGGATCATGGAAACACGGTCACGAATCTCTATATCACATTACCACAAGTGAAGCACGTGGTCGTAATTCTAGTTACACATATACAGTAGCCCGAGATGTATGGAACAAAGGAAGTGCTGTCGGATGCAGAGCGAGACAAATGCAAGCGTTTCACATGTTCTTACTGACGTCAGTCAGTTCTACATCATGACAGATATATAGCCCTTCTGACATAATAGACTCAGGGGTGGTCTAGTCGTGTTAGGCACCGCAATTCGCTGTGCAGAGGTGCGTCCCTTGGGCACAACAGAAACCTATGATCGTGGGTTCGAATCCATACTCGTGCTCGTGGGTTTCACCAAAGTGGTAAACGTCTGAGTCCTGCATCACTTCGGGCCTTCCTCTCATATTAAGCTGACACGCCGTGATATAACGGAATATTGTTAAAAGCGGCGTTAAACCCAACTTAGTCTGAAATAAAAAAATTAACGCAGTTTCTCTTGAAGGAATGACCTTACTTATGACTCTACGTGATACTTGTGGCATTAGCTGAATGTACGGCAATGTGGAGGGGGACGATCTACGGTTTGTTCCTTATTTGCTCAACTGCTGCTACTACTTGAGATGCGTATACGTATGACATTATTGGTCGTGCAGGTCATGGTTTCTCTTTTACCTCTGGTGTCGTCAGTGGTGTTCAGTGGCCCATTCATGTAAGTTTCACCGCTGTTTTGCCTTTTTCTCCCTATGGAATATCTTTCTGCAGATAATCGGGACATTTAGACATCGACCTAGTGTCATTAGTCAACTGCCTAGCCCAGGCCCCCGTTTTAAGATCGGAATGGTCTAGTTTGTGTACAAACACCATTCAGCTTGTACAGAATGTGTATCACTGGCACGTAAGAATTTTATGTCATGCCCAGACTTTGAAGGTTATAGTATAGTTTAGTCATACACAATCTCGTTGTCTTTGTAGGCCACAACAACATTCTGTTTTTTTACAGTCTTTCTAAAAATACACTTGGCGGAGACACATTTGACCTCCAACATTCCGACACGTTGGCGGTTGCGGGTCAGTGTAATAATAATAAGGAGATTCTGTGTGTGATAGTTCACATAGGTACTTATATGCAGCTTTTCGCAATAAGGAGATTCAGTGTTTGTTGGTACAAACAGGTACGCATTTGCAGACCTTTCTAAAATGTACCTGCAATAACACCTAAGCACTAAAAGTATTTTCTGGTGTGTCTAACTTCTTCTATCTGTGACCGCCTCCGTGGTCTCGTGGTAGAGCGTCCGCCCGGAGAGCGGAAGTTCCGGCGCTCAATCCCCGACACACACACACACACACACACACACACACACACACACACACACACACGATTTAAGAGACCGAAGGGCATAATACTCGCTCAATTTAGAAATAATGATTTCGTATAACAATCCAGGAATGAAACGCCTGTCAAATGTTTTTTTCAAGATCTGCGCTGAATGTTTTACAAGATAGACGCCATGACTCATGACGCCATGAAACAAGTATTCGCCCTAGTAGTTGGTATTCTACCGGATACTTCTTCGATTCACATCACAGGTCAGCCTGCGTGTCCACAACGATTAATTCAGGTGCGGCACTACAAGGTGTTTCTTTGTGAACTCTCAGTTTCAGACTGCTGCCTGGTTCACAATCATATACATCTCTAAAATTTCTGCCATTCCTGACCATTTACCTAAAAACGTTGTACCACCAGACCAATATCTCGCCTGCAATCACCCATATGTCTAATGCATTGGTCATCGTGATTTCCTTTTCAGTAGTGTAGTTCCAAGAACATCACTAGACTTCCAAGAATATACTTGATTCTCTTTTGGACAGTAGTCATTGGCCAGGATGTATGTTTTGACCAGAGCAAAGGTATGTCACCATTCCACCCCACAAGCGTTTGTTAAAGGGGGAGAGGTTGAAGAACGCCAATGACCCCCCCCCCCCCCCCCCCCCCCCCCTCCCAATACATGTAACCTTGTTTCATGTCCCCTTCCATACACTATTTGACCAGTCCTTTTATACTGTTAAAATTTACATAATTTAAAAAAATAATAGAACTGTGCTATTGTTCAGTTGTGATAAATGAAAGTTGTTATTGGGCAAATAAAAGGCTTTCTTTTTCAGTTCCGCTTGTGTTAAGGTCACGTCAGGGTGGTACCGAGGTATATAAGAGCGGTAACCCGCACATATATGTTGATATATGCAATTCAAAGTGGTGATATGGCGTGGTCCCCGCCCATGTGGGTCACATGTTTGTAGATATGGTAGCAGGACAAATAAGGACCAATGTTGACATCACACAGTTTGATCCATGTCCAAGAGATCTGAACACCGTCATTTCGGCTACCCTTGTATTCCGTGTGGCAAGCGTTGTGGCACATAAACACGACCTGAAGATTCGAAGGAGCACACAAAGGGATGAAGTCTTCCTTATCATAACTTCGCTTGGTTGCAAGTGATATTCATTGTTCATAACATATTAAGTTCGGCAGGTGTACAACTACTACTACTACTACTACTACTACTACTACTACTACTACTACTACTACTGAATAGGTCTTCAGCAACCCATGCTTGCCGTAAGAGGCGACTAACGGGATCGGGTGGTCAGCCTCGCTGACTTGGTTGGTGCATGTCATCGTATCCCAATTGCGTGGATCGATGCTCATGATGTCAATTACTGGATTGTTCGCCAGACTCGATTATTTACAGACCGCCGTCATATAGCTGGAATATTTGATTGCGGCATTAAACAACATACCAAACCAAAACTCCTATAAACTACTACTACTACTACTTCTTCTGCTGCTGCTGCTACTACTTGATGTGCGTATAATATTAAATTATATTGTAAATGAATTGTGTACCAGAAACCTATAATCGTGGGTTCGAACCCCAGATTCGCTCTGATTCGCATCTAGGTTTGTCAGCACATGAAACGTCTGAGCCGGTTTTCTTTAAGCTGATACGATATGAACTAATGCTTACCATAGTGTTAAACCAAAACCTCTCACTCATGCACTGGTGTATGTGAATCTGGGTGGTTTACAAGGGGAGAACCAGTAGCCACGCCACATTATAATATCCTTGCAATACGGTAGGCATATTGAATTTATTTAAGACATAAACGACGAGTGGGAGTTGTTTATCGTACAATAAACAAGGACTACGACTCATTTATTTCTACGTCTTGGAGGATGTAATAACATGTACAACTTTTAAGAATATTTACCCGTTATTATAAATAATGATGACTCCCTGAATACAAACCTCGTCAATGTCGGACAAGTCAATTTTATAAACAGGGGGGTTAAGTTTGGTATTTTCCAGCTATTCTCACAATTTACACGTCGATTAACTGAACCTTTTGTCTCAAAAAACGATTGTCATTTTTCTCCCACTTTTGGGTGCGACCGTTCGGCCATTGTGCTTATCTACATTTCTAGCTACATCTGTGGGGAACAACTCACAAAGCACTTTCCTCTCCAAAATAGCGTCGTCCAATTTACGACGTCATCACATTGCGAGCTCATGTTCGTGTCTACAGAAATGACGTAATGATGGAACAATGTTTTGTCGTGAAATGAACCATGCTTCCTTCTTCATTGTTCTTTCCGATTTATCGCGTAGCTTACTAGACCGAACAGAATTTTACAGACTTCGGACTTTTGACTTGAAGCAAACTGCATTGGATTGTGGCATAAACCATTGAAACCGATGACATCATAATAAAATGCAAAACAATGTGATGCAGTTTCATTGCAGATCGCCTGGTCTTACGTAAGCATATCTCCAAGTTGAAGTGAACCATGAACTTATGGATATACATTTACAATTCAGCTTTTCGTGACAATTATTTAAAATTTGATACATTTGTTCAGGCTACACAAAGACGTATATGTCTTGTATGTACGTCCGTGGGCTACATAATACCTTAGTGTTACTGGTTGTAAACATACTATGAAAATTATACAAGTTGGGACGACTGTGACAAGAAGTAACATTCTTTCATGTGATAAACAATTACACTGAAAAATATAGTGTGTTAAACCAACGACCTAAGTCTTTTTCATCCTGTGGAGCCAGTGTTGGATGACAAATACTGACATACGTCAGCCCTCCGGGCCAACCCGTCTATACTTAGCTCAACAGGTCATGACCCGGGCACCTATACTAATGGACGGCGCCCGACCGGTGACCGATTACTGTAAGGTCAAGGCTAAGGTAAGAGGACGACAGGGCAAGTAAGGTCATCTTGACCTTGGGGAGTTGTTTAAAGAATTCACTTTTTGATGGACTGAATCTTTTCATTGTCTCTACAGTTTGATGTTCATATATAATTCATTTTTGTGAATCTTGTGCATGTAAATAAACACTGTCAGCGTCTTAACATATACTACGATGTCTTCATATATTTTATTTGTTGTATAGTTTATTTTGTTGAGTTTAGTTTATATCTTTACTGATATTTTCTTCTTCACTAATGTGTGGACCCATGAAGATCCGGGGTAGAATAGGTCTTCAGCAACCCATGCTTGCCGTAAAAGGCGACTATGCTTGTCGTAAGAGGCGACCAACGGGACCGGGTGGTCAGGCTCGATGACTTGGTTGATGCATGCCATCGTATCCCAGTTGCCTGGATCGATGTTCATGATGTCAATCACTGGATTGTCTGGTCTCGATTATTTACAGACCGCCGTCATATAGCTGGAATATTGCTGAGTGCGGCGTTAAACAACAAACAAACAAACAAACAAACAAACCCTACTTATTCACTTATACGCTGACACTGCATAGAAAGACCCCATAATTCAGTTCAAATTCTCTGAAGAAACGTGAAATCTGACGTAAATGCACAAAGCACATGTAAATTTATATCGATATTATAGATTAGCTGTAATGGAGTATTAGTGGAACTTAGTTTTTCATATTTTGGAAATTCATGAAGGTTCTGTGAAGTTGAGTCATTGCTTGTAAATTCCCATTTTGACAAGTTATGTTTCCATTACATTCATTCGGTATCTTAAATAGTGAGCGGGCTGTTTAAAAATATCGAGTGTCCTTGAGATGTTGATGTGAACGCATCACACATTGTCGACCCCACAAATATAACACAAACAACACGCCAAAATAATATCAGGTGTCATCGTTAATATAAACACCAGTAGTACAAAAGCGCACCCAAGAGTGACACGATGCTAGCGATATCCTTGGAACTGTGCAGCCATGCATGAGGCATGAACAGTGGGCTTACATTATACTGGCCTCACGGTTGGGCCCATCCACCCGTTCATTGCTGTATTAAACCGACATCGGCAGGACGACTGACACGACAGAATGGCAACCGCCCACGAACTTCACACACATGAGAATGACGCAGTTTCCAAGGGCAGCAGGATAGTTGCCGTCGCTATAGATGGAAGCACACACTCTGCGTACGCCCTTGATTGTAAGTGTGTTGGTTTTAGTTGGCTTGTAAGACCTGGTACGAGATTTTACTTTTTCCGAGTAAGACCTGATGATTTGGGTAGTAGATGAAATTTGAACTTGGTGTTTCAAACGTCCAGTGATATGATATCAAAGACAGGAAATGAAAGTTTTCAATATTGGTGTCGGGAATCGAACCTGCAACCTCACATATCGTGTTTAGTTTTGTGAGGCATGGTTTTCCCACTGAAGTACGGGGGCAGGTGATGAAAAGTTGTTCAAGTTTACAGGTCGTGAATCCAGTTGTATGCTGTACGTGGTTTAAATCTCGCACGCTTTCGTCGAATTCCTTTTATACCACGACATACTGTATTTTTTTCAATATATGGTATCTCGATGTCTTCTTAATATCTGGTATTTCTTGCATATAGACGGTTCATGAGTGAGAGAAAGCATTCCTCCTCGGTTATAGTCGAGGAAGTAAGACCTCGGCAATCGGGATTCGGCGATGTGAGACCTCGGAGTTTCGCTACTCGGTCTTACGTTGCCGATACCCTCTTGCCTCTTACTTCCTCGACCATAACAGGGGCGAGTCTATATTGGGTCCTGTTACTTTGTTGACCGGGGTAGCGGGTAAGGGCTGGGGAGGGACGGAGGGCGTCAGTTGATTCTGATCGTGAGACGGATTGACGCGAACCCCAGTGGTTTGTTGTGTAAACGCCGCACTCGGCAATATTCAAGGCATATGTCTATTGCTGAAGGCGGCGTCATTATGCTTCAGTTGAAATAAATCACAGGCATCCTCGTCAATCCATTTCACGAGCAGCATCAACTGAGTCTGGACCAGAAATCCAGTGATTGACATCATGAGCTTCGATCTATGCAAATGGAATACGATGACATGTATCAACCAAGTCAGCAAACCTGACCACCGGATCCCGTTAGTCGCCTCTTAAGACAAGCATCCGTTGCTCAAGACCAATTCTTACCCTGATCTTCACGGGTTGGCTGTGTATACAGGCCTACTGGTTGTCAATAATCGAACCCGGGGGCCCCATCTTCCCGAGGCAAGGGATTAACTGATTATAAAAGTCCAGTTTCCACCCTTGCCGAATTCCGGAGTTGCGAACGAGATTTTAGTCGACTGCAGAATTGGGCAAAGCATGTGTACCGCCAACTGGGCGTCGACAGATATTGAGTGATTTGATGCACTTCGCGTTGAGAACCGTTGTATTTCAAAATAGATCTTGATTATCGATCAGATCGTCTTGACTGGGTTGAAACAAATGAAAGTGTTATGAAAGGTGGAATCTGATTGGTCAATAGGCGGGACATAGAAGGGACATTATTCGTAAAAGCCACTGGTGGCACTACGATCGAGCCTGGAAATTCCAGCCTTGTTCGGCAAGGGTGTTAAGTGGACTTTTATAATCAGTTGTAACCCTTGCCTCGGGAAGATGAGGCTCCGGCATGACGAGCGAATGCTTGTACCACTAGGCTACCTCACCGCCCGATGGCGTATGTGTCAGAATATGTCACAGTATAGCATTCAAATGGCCAGGGAACTGGCAGTTCTTTAGAGCAGGTACTCACTGCACACGCACAAGCTACTTATCCTCCGGTCACCAGCGTGACGGAAGTCACGTATGATGTTATACGGCGGGATGTTTCAACAATGGAGGACACAATCAAAATCAGCTTCTTGAGTATTACTTCACACAGTCTTTCACAGACGTTAAACATTATTGACAGTTTATTATGCCATAAATGTGAGCAACGACACCACTGCCTAGAAGTTCATTTCCCTAACACGTATTGAGAACGCGTGTAACGGGTGCAGCGCGTGTGCAACCCGTTGAGCACGCGTGGGTCATTCGTTGCACACGCGTGTAACATGCGTGCAACACGGGACCGGGTTTCAGTTGAAGTTGACAAATATATCAAATGTTGAATGTTACCCTGTAAGATCTGCCACATCTATCACGGATTTGATGCTATCGACAGGTTCAGCCATTTCCAATTTCCTCCACTAGTTATTAGAAACATTTAGGATCATATTTCCCTTCTCCCTTAATCCCAGCTGTCATGCACGCAAGATATAAAACATATACTTAGTGAGATCTTTATATAATTCATACAATAAACTAATGTTCATGTATGAGGATATTGATGGATGTAGGGAACAGTCCCTTTTACATATTTATGATTTAACACACAATTGCATGACAGATTATAACAAGATGAATATCAAAATTCATCACCACTTGCCAAGTTCACTAATATGTCATCAATTGGAATTTGTCACAGATAAACATGGATTCTAACCAAGTCTGATCTTCTTTTACATAGAAAGCGTGAAATGGTTGAGTGACTTCTTTCCCTCAGAATAACACACACAGAAGGAAAGGGCTAAAAATCCTGAAGACATCCTGTATCCTGTATTTCCTCTAATAATAAAATGTTACCTTTGGCATCAACAAGCAGTGATACTCAGCAGGACAATTTTGGGCAATTGTAAAAATCACAACCCCTAATGTGAAACCCCCAGTGATTGTTAAGATTTTGTAAAATCCTATCTGCAGTCAGACAACATGACAGTCTATATTCATTTCCAATATCCTCAAACAAATAGTGGGCAATGTCAGAATTTCACCCTCTGCAAAGATACCTCTATTACCCTACAAAACAAAAAACAAAAACAAACAAAAGGTGCGGTGTGGGGAAATGTCCAGTATTTAATATCAAGAGAACTACTTTTGTAACGATTTTTGTAACGATACCCTTATGGACCTTCTATTATAAGAACTACAATTTTTTGTAGACCTTTCAATTTCAAGTGTTATATGCTACTACCTTTTAAATGTATCTAATTTTACCGTTTAAAAAGGTGTTGAAATATATAAATATCTCAAACGTAATTAAATTTATCTTCACACGCAGCGCTTTTTGCATCACAGTCAATAGATATAAACCATATTATATTGTGCCATATCATGTCATGAGTATAGTATATTTAAAGGTATATATTTTGACTATAAATTATAAATGACATGTATATATGTAAATACGGATATATTGAAAATGATACTAGAACCTGTGGCTTGTGTTACAGAGGGAGAAAGTTTCAAAGGCCTAATATAATAGTAATGTATAGCTTTGTTAGATGTAAAGCATAGCAGAATATAGTAATATATACAGGCTGTTCTTTAGCATTTGGGGCCTGCTAAATAAAGGAAAACGGAAGTAAAACCTGGTCTTAACATAGCGCTTGTACACGAAACACATTCTCCAGCAAAAGTAATTAAACATTAAGAAACCTGAAAGACACCTTTGGCGTTCAATCCGTAATCTGTAGGTTTGTTCACAGGGTCAAGACGTCGATCTTCCTGAAGCATCAGCTATACTCGCCTTATTCCGCGAGAGAAGTTTCTGCTCTTGTGACCTACTGCGAAAATAGGGTTCCTTCCCGAGAATACCCCTGCCTTCTGGCTTCAAACGATCGAGGCATTTATTTTGTAATCTAGGCTTACATACATTTACATACGCACGCACACATATATAAACCATGCACACATACATACATACACATACAGTCATGTAATTACACGTACATACTAAATAGGAAGGAAGCGTGTGTATTGATCTGTTGTCTTAATCACTGACCCATCAAGCGTGTCAGTCATCATGTATCAAATCTTTATAACCGTTGACATTGTGATAACTGTCATACCTGACTTATTTGTCTGAATGGCACGTCTGAAAACAATTTTCTGTGCTATAGAATCAAAGTACCGGCGTGCTGCATGTATATAACGTACATATATGTTACGATGATGTGTCATTCTTTAATCAGTACGATGTGTGTTATAAGTATATACACTTAAAAGTAAACACATGTTAACGATGCTAATGGCAGAGAGATAAATAAACGCATGTAAAGTAATTATGGTCCAATAAAAACAATGTTCCGTCAAACCTCATAAACATGATCACTGCAAGTCGTACTAAAGACGTTTAGTGTCAAAGCACAAACAACTTTTGAATAGCAATACCATTTACAAGGATCATGTATTCTCTTAACACCATCGCAAAACATCACGTACACAATAGTACTCATATTTCCCAACAATATCACATCTAAAAATGAGACATCAGCAAGTACATATAATAAAATGTGTATTGACATTTTTCGTCAGGATAACAAAAAATTCTCTCCCTGTTACCACCTCCAAGTTCAGCTTTACATGGGTCCTCCTTTGGTCAAAGGTTTGTTCCCCCTGTAATGAGTGTGTCACGCGTTGCACATGAGTGATGAACGGGGTGGACACCCGTTTTCAACGCGTTGCACATGGGTATCACACGCGTGGCGGACGGGTTCCACACGAGTGACCAACGGGGTGCACACGGTTTGCGTGACGCGTTGCCCATGCGTGTAAGGGGAATTGACTTCTATATATAGAATATAACTCTCAAACACCCACGTGTGAGACTGTATAAATGTCAAGGCATGGCCTTCAATACCCCGCAAAGGCCATATTAGATTGGTTCGACGCACAAACGTATATACTGGTATTTTGTGTGAACCGACGCTCATGAACGCATCACATGTGACGTCATAGATCCACGACTGGAGATGCACCGTTTGACTCGTGCAGGATTATCGATAAGTTTGGAAACCACGTGCAGCTTATTATTATAAGAATAAAGACACTCTGTGGTAAGACTTGACTGGTTGTTAGTTTTGTCATCAGGCTATACACATTTGAAACATCTCTTTTTAACGTACATCCTTTCTGTATGTTTCGCAGCCCGTGAAGATCCGGGGTAGAATAGGTCTTCAGCAACCCATGCTTGCCTTAAAAGGCGACCATGCTTGTCGTAAAAGGCGACTAAAGAGATCGGGTGGTCAGGCTCGCTGACTTGGTTGAAGCATGTCATCGATCCCAATTGCGTGGTTCGATGCTCATGATATGAATCACTGGATTGTCTGGTCAAGACTCGATTATTTACAGACCGCCGTCATATAGTTGGAATATTGCTGAGTGCGGCGTAAAACAACAAACTCACTCACTCAAACCAACCAACCAATCTATGGTTCGCGTTTCTTTTCGCGGTGAGTATATTGTCGGAATCATCTCCATTACAGTCTTTATTGACAACATATGGACACCCCGGGACTACGTCATCATGGTGACTGTTCCCGAGTTGGATTCCTCCATAAAACACACGTGGAGTGAAGGTAACCTTTAAGCAATAGTGAGTGAGTGAGTGAGTGAGTGAGTGAGTGAGTGCAGGTCATTCGCTATCCCCGAGCACGGGAGATCGTTGCGTTTTCGCGCAGTTTAACGCTGTTTTTACACATTTTGTGATGGGGCGACAATGCCAAAACGCGACATATTTTGTATTTGAAAAATAACGCATTGTTGCCCTTTGGTAAAATATAAAAATAATGTTCAAAGCGCGAAAATGCGAGAAGTGGCCAAAATGTCGCGTTGTCGCATTGTCGCACTTTGGTAAATTTTGTCTCATTTTGCTTGCTTTTGTAAGGGCGACAATGCGACAGCACGACAATGTCTCTTCTAAGATTCCATAGTTACACGGCATAAAGGACATTACTGATTTATCACGGAGTTTGACTAAGAAATATTGTCTTAGAGTTTTTGTTGTTTTTTGTTGTTGTTGTTTAACGCGCACTCAGCAAAATTCGAGCTAAGTGACGGCTCTCTGTAAATAGCCTAGTCTGGGTCAGACAATCCAATGATTCATATTGTGAGCAACTATTCTAATCCGGATTCCCCACAAGGGTAGAATTTTGTAAGGCCGAAGGCAATATAATTTGTTTCCAGTATTGTATCGTGGAATAGAAATAACTCTACCAAAGTTGTGTAGTATGTTTTTCACTTATGTACATGTAGTCATCTGGGTTCTTACTTCTACTTCTCCGTGGATATCCGGGGTAAAATAGGTCTTGAGCAACCCATGCTTGCCGTAAAAGGCGACTTTGCTTGTCGTAAGAGGCGACAAACGCGATTGGGTGGACAGCCTCGCTGACTTGATGCATGTCATCGTGCGGCGTTAATTACTCCTAATTCCGGCATACCAATGTTCGTTCACCGACAGCTTTGTTCAAGTTCAACAAGCAGAATCTGGCCACTCTGATGGATGAGCAGGTGGAGAAGGTGAACAAAGACCTACACGCAGCCCGAGAGAAAATGCGCAATAGGAACGTGAGTGGCACAGAATGGCCGGACCTGTGTAACTCCCCATGGTCACAACAGGTCTAGGCCTCATGCTTGTCTCCCCGATTTTGAATCCTAGTCATAAACGATCCAGACCTCATGCTTGTCTCCCCGATTGTGATTCCTGGTCACCACAGGTCTAGATCTCATGCTTGTCTCTCCATTGTGATTCCTGGTCATAACGAATCCAGACCCCATGCTTGTCTCCCCCTAGTGATTCCTGGTCACCACAGGTCTAGATCTCATGCTTGTCTCTCCATTGTGATTCCTGGTCATAACAGATCAAGATCTCATACTTGTCTCCCAATGATGAATATTTGTCACCACAGATCGAGACCTCATGCTTGTCTCCCCCTGGTAATTCCTGGTCATAACGGATTCAGACCCCATGCTTGTCTCCCCCTGATGATTCCTGGTCATAACAGATCCAGACCCCATGCTTGTCTCCCCCTGATGATTCCTGGTCATAACAGATCCAGACCTCATGCTTGTCTCCCCCTGGTAATTCCTGGTCATAACGGATCCAGACCCCATGCTTGTGTCCCCATGGTGATTCCTGGTCATAACGAATCCAGACCCCATGCTTGTGTCCCCAAGGTGATTCCGGGTCATAACGGAACCAGACCCCATGCTTGTGTCCCCATGGTGATTCCTGGTCATAACGGATCAAGACCCCATGCTTGTCTCCCCCTGGTAATTCCTGGTCATAACGAATCCAGACCCCATGCTTGTCTCCCCCTGGTAATTCCTGGTCATAACGGATCCAGACCCAATGCTTGTCTCCCCCTGATGATTCCTGGTCATAACAGATCCAGACCTCATGCTTGTCTCCCCCTGGTAATTCCTGGTCATAACGGATCCAGACCCCATGTTTGTCTCCTCCTGGTAATTCCTGGTCATAACGGATCCAGACCCCATGCTTGTCTCCCCCTGGTGCTTCCTGGTCATAACAGATCCAGACCCCATGCTTGTCTCCCCCTGGTGCTTTCTGGTCATAACGGATCAAGACCTCATGCTTGTCTCCCCCTGGTAATTCCTGGTAATATAACGGATCCAGACCCCATGCTTGTGTCCCCATTGTGATTTCTGGTCATAACGGATCCAGACCCCATGCTTGTCTCCCCCTGGTAATTCCTGGTCATAACGGATCCAGACCCCATGCTTGTGTCCCCCTGGTAATTCCTGGTCATAACGGATCCAGACCCCATGTTTGTCTCCCCCTGGTAATTCCTGGTCATAACGGATCCAGACCCCATGCTTGTCTCCCCCTGGTGCTTCCTGGTCATAACGGATCCAGACCCCATGCTTGTCTCCCCCTGGTGCTTTCTGGTCATAACGGATCAAGACCTCATGCTTGTGTCCCCATTGTGATTTCTGGTCATAACGGATCCAGACCCCATGCTTGTGTCCCGAATTGTGATTTCTGGTCATAACGGATCCAGACCCCATGCTTGTGTCCCCCTGGTGCTTCCTGGTCATAACGGATCAAGACCTCATGCTTGTGTCCCCATTGTGATTTCTGGTCATAACGGATCCAGACCCCATGCTTGTGTCCCCATTGTGATTTCTGGTCATAACGGATCCAGATCTCATGCTTGTCTCCCCCTGGTGATTCCTGGTCATAACGGATCCAGACCCCATGCTTGTCTCCCCCTGGTGCTTTCTGGTCATAACGGATCAAGACCTCATGCATGTGTCCCCATTGTGATTTCTGGTCATAACGGATCCAGACCCCATGCTTGTGTCCCCATTGTGATTTCTGGTCATAACGGATCCAGACCCCATGCTTGTCTCCCCCTGGTGATTCCTGGTCATAACGGATCCAGATCTCATGCTTGTCTCTCCATTTTGATTTCTAGTACCAACAGGTCCAGACTTCGCGCTTGTCTCTCCATTGTGGTTCCTTGTCACCACAGATACAGACCCCATGCTTGTGTCCCCATTGTGATTTCTGGTCATAACGGATCCAGATCTCATGCTTGTCTCTCCATTGTGGTTCCTGGTCACAACGGATCCAGATCTCATGCTTGTCGGGGCGAACCGGGATTCGAACCCACAATCATAGGTTTCTTGCGTGCCCAAGGGACGCAACTCTGCACAGCGAATCGCGGCGCCTTAGACGACTGCGCTACCCGTTCCCCCTAGAATATTAAAAAAAGGCTACATAAAACCTCTAAAATCAGGTGTATTGACGTCTCATCTCTACATTGAGTGATTTCAGAACGCTTTATTAATTTCCTAAATTATGTAGTTTTGTGGTCCAAAGCATCCTTATCAACCCTTCCTCTGTGAAGGAAGAAACTTGTTTGATGACGTAACAAAACCTTTTCCTCATGCAGGGTATTGAAAATATGATTTCCATCTTATAGGCGACTGGGGGGCACGGGTGGCCCAGTCGTCTAAGGCGCCGCGATTCGCTGTGCAGAGTTGCGTCCCTTGGGCATGCCAGAAACCTATGATTGTGGGTTCGAATCCCGGTTCGCCCTGATTATGTTTCTAGGTTTGTCAGCACCATACCCGTGCTCGTGGGTTTCACCGAAGTGGTAAACGTCTGAGACCTGCATCACTTCGGGCTTTCCTCCCACATTAAGCTGACACACCGCGATATAACTGGAATATTGTTAAAAGCGGAGTAAAACCCAACTCACTCACTCAATTATAGGCGACTGCACAATGCAGGCATTTCTTCAAGTATTTACGGTATGTCTTCTCTACCAGGTGAAGGGGAAGGTCCGTGCCATGTTCTCCAGCAACGTAGGTCACGCCATCTGCCACGCTGCAGAGGAGGAGAAGGCAGTCTTCATCATCATGGGAAACCGCGGGCACAGCATGTTGCGCAGGACGGTGACCGGAAGTATCAGCAACTACGTCATCAACCATTCCAAGATCCCGGTGATGGTCTGCAGACAGAATCATTGAGGGACTGCGGCCTACGTCACTACCAGGACCCCATCGCCACTTTATACTTTTTACTATGCTGACACACATAAGTAGCGAACTTTCTTCTGTTCGATAATAATTCTGTACGTCACACGCATGTCGTGTAAGAGTGACCTCGTTTTGATAATTTTGATTGGATAACCGAGATCTTGCTAATGTCACACATGAACTATGAAACGCCAAAGCCAGAAAATATTAAACCGTCTCGATTATCCACCGAAACAGATTCCATACGGCGTAAAAAGGCTCCATTTACACAATTTTCATAAAAAAAGACGATATTATTTGTTCGCTGCCCAACGTGACACGCAGAAATACTATGGCCATGTGATGATGGCTTGTTATCAATCGAGTCCATTGGTACCATTTTTACGAAACATATTCCCAAAGTATTCCCATAAGGACAAGGGGTATTTCTTATCAGCCACAAAATTCATCACAAGTAAAAACTGTACCGGCGCAGTTTTGAATATTTTGAATTATATTAAACTATTTCTTCATAAAAATGGTACACGTAGATGCCAACTGGCATGTTAGGCTTGCTCTTACATAACGCTGACATGATGCTCAGTGCGGCGTGCCCGTGGGTTTCATCAAAGTGGTAAACGTCTAAGACGTCTATCACTGTGTGAGGGGCGGTCGGGTAGCCTAGTGGTTAAAGCGTTCGTTCGAAGACCCGGGTTCGATTCCCGACATGGGTACAATGTGTGAAGCCCATTTCTGGTGTCCCCCGCCGTGATATTGCTGGAATATTGCTAAAACGTAAAACCATACTCACTCACTCACTCACTCTCACTTCGTGCTTTCCTCCCACATCTAGCTACATTGAGTGATTTCAGAACCATTTAGTAATTTCCTAAATTATGTAGTTTTGTGGGCCAAAATCATCCTTAGCAACCCTTCCTCAGTGAAGGAAGAAACGTGCTTGATGACGTAAGAAAACCTTTTTCTCACGCACGGTATTGAAACCATACTCACTCACTCACTCACTCACTATCATTTCGTGCTTTCCTCCGACATCAAGCTGCCACACCTTGATATAACGAAAATACGGTTAAAAGCTGCGTTACTTAAACTCACCCGCTCACTCACAACTTGCGTCGGGTAATGAAAGCGTGAATAGGGGTTTCCCCTTTCAACAAAAAACGCATAAAACTGTTTCAAACGCCCAATAACGTAGTGTAGAGGATTAAGGAATTATTAAATCATATCGTCCTTATCATCCGAATTATGATAATTTTCAGTTACTTCGACATAGGTCATAACTCAGGTGTCATATTTGTACTAATACAATAATCCTTGTAGTTTTGTATCTTCTAGACGCAATAAATGATACCATTAGTTATTTTTTCGTTTGGATGTTTAAAACGGGGCAGTCGGGTAGCCTAGTGGTTAAAGCGTGCGCTCGTCACGCCGATGACCCGTGTTCGATTCCGCATGGGTACAATGTGTGAAGCCCATTTCTGGTGTTCCCCGGAGGCATGGGTTGCTGAAGACCTATTAACTTCACGGGTACATCCTAGTCTAGTAACAGAGGGGAGTGGGAACCTGGTAGTTAAAGATCTTCACGGGTAACATTTGGTCAGATCTTACGACAAGCATAAGGTACTTCAATATGGACCCAAAAATCTGAATATTCTACTTATCTCTGGAATTAAATTATTTTAAAGATATTTTTAATAAATTTTACTTCATTTCTGATAAATGAGCAATAGCTTCATTTTCATGTTGAAATTGATAAATCTAGACTTGTATATCACGGGATCATCTAATTATTATAGTTCACATGAAAAAAGACCCGCAACACGTGGTACAAGTCAAAATAGGGAACTTGGACATCACTTTAATGTGTCACTGATGCGTCCTCCAAATGTCCTCCACATGTCTAACATAAAACTTTTTAAAATCTTTACTAAGTCCTTGAATCCTGCAAACCTGATCAAACAATGTTTGAGCAAGAGTCGTGTGACCCTCTTTGTAGAATAGATTCATTTCCATGTTGAAATTGATAAATCTAGACTTGTAAAACTATTATAGAGTTGCACGGGATCATCTGATTTTTTTTTTTAGAAGGCCCGTTTGGGAGACTTGGTCCTGTGCTGTGTGAACAGTGTCGTAGTGGAGGGATCTGTCGTGACGGACGCCTTCCGGGTGTAACTCTTCATACAGTGTCGTAGTGGAGGGATCTGTCGTGACGGACGCCTTCCGGGTGTAACTCTTCATACAGTGTCGTAGTGGAGGGATCTGTCGTGACGGACGCCTTCCGGGTGTAACTCTTCATACAGTGTCGTAGTGGAGGGATCTGTCGTGACGGACGCCTTCCGGGTGTAACTCTTCATACAGTGTCGTAGTGGAGGGATCTGTCGTGACGGACGCCTTCCGGGTGTAACTCTTCATACAGTGTCGTAGTGGAGCGATCTGTCGTGACGGACGCCTTCCGGGTGTAACTCTTCATACAGTGTCGTAGTGGAGGGATCTGTCGTGACGGACGCCTTCCGGGTGTAACTCTTCATACAGTGTCGTAGTGGAGCGATCTGTCGTGACGGACGCCGGGTTTAGCTCTTCAAAACATGTCCTTGAAATCAGCATTTAAAAATGTGAATGACGACATGAGCTGACACCCAGACGGGCAGTCTCGGGGTCTACGCTACCACATGAAGCCATGCACTTCCTTGTTCTATCAGTAAAACCGGGCCGACAGGAACTTGTCGTGTATAACCACGGAATACTCTGTAATTCTGTAAGCCCCACCAGTTGTACAAATCTTTGAAGAAAAAGCATACTCGATTGTACCCCAACTTTGTGAAATGGAGCTGCTGGAACCAGACAATCCAGTGATTGACAACATCAGCATCGATCCACGCAATTGGGATCGATGACATGCATCAACCAAGTCAGCGAGCCTGACCACCCGATCCCGTTAGTCGCCTTTTACGACAAGCATAGTCACCTTTTAAGGCAAGCATGGGTTGCTGAAGACCTATTCTACCCCGGAATCTTCACGGGTCCCATATTTTTTGGGGCACGTGCGCACCCTCCTTTTTATTTCGAAAAAAATCTTTATTTCTGTATAGACAGACAGACAGAAGTTTGTTCAATATTTTAGGCCATATGACCTATAGTACAGTAGTGTTGTTTTTTTGTATCAACATTGTACAGTCACGTGTAGGTAATAATAAGTTTACATAAAATATTAACGTCTAATTTCAAAAATCTTCTTCAGGAATATTGACAGAGATGATATTGTATTTGCATTGCAGGAGTTCAACAAATTTCTCATCAGTTGTTCATCTTTGTACATAGTTGAAATCATAGGGAGGTATCTATTTCTAAGAAACTGATAATATTTACAAATGAGAAGTACATGAAACTCATCCTCAACATAGCCTTCATTACAATAACGGCATAAACTACTTTCTTTATCTTGTACATTTTTCTTTCTGAGATTGTTAGCATTAAAATTATGTAATGATATACGTAATTTACACAAAGATCTTCTCAAAGTTCTATCCCGAAGTACAGATACATATTTTTCAGGAACAAGTAAAGATTTTATCTTCGTATAATGGCATAAAAACCTTCAGGATGATATTTGACAGTCCCAATCTTGTGAAAATATATCAACTAATCTTTCCTTAAGCATGAAGATAAATAGTTTATCATTTCCAACATCTTGAGATATCCATGCAAGAGAAAAACCAGACATACAAAGAATATTTCTGATATCAGACACCCATAAACAATATTTACCCTTTTCATCCAAGGCTTTTAACATATTATAACAATGAAGAGGAAATCTATTTGAATTCATACGAAGTAGCTTTATCCAATATTTAACTGCCCGTAGCTGGGATGAAACAAAAAGACTGGTACGACCAGTTTCTCCTAGAATGGCTTTATTAGAGGCATATTTACCGACACCTAAAAAACGTTTAAAGTACATGGCATGAATTTTTTCTATGGAATCATTATAATGACATCCCCATATTTCTGAACCATCGGCAGAATTGGTGCTATTTTTCTGTCAAAAATGTCCGAAACAACTCGGAAAGATATAAATTTGTTTTCTTTAAAAACTCTATAGATAGGAATCAAGGCTTTAGATGCTTGCAGAGCCAACTGCTTACAAGCTGTTGACCATGCTAATCGAGAAGATACAGTCAATCCTAAATATTTATAATATGAAACAATATTGACTGTCTTGTTACAATACGTCCATTTTTCAAATTTATTTAGAATACCATCTTTTCTGAAAACAATAACATTTGTCTTTTTCAAATTTACTTCAAGGCCCCATTTATCACAATATAGCTGGAGAACATTTAACTGTTTCTGGAGGCCACTAACTGAAAATGATAATTTAGCAGTATCATCAGCAAATAGTAACAGCATTATATCAATTATATCTTGCGACACAAAAACTCCGTAATCACATTCATGATACATTTCAGTTACAAGTTCATTTATGAAAAATATAAATAGGACAGGGCTGAGTACACAGCCCTGTCTTACACCAGCTGAAGTTCTGAAACATTCAGTGATTCCTTTATCTGTCTTGATACATGCTTTAACTGATGAGTACATGCTCTGTAGAACGTTTGACAATTTGCCTGTTAATCCTTTAGTAATTATTAAAAACATCATTTTCTTTCTATCCACATAACCAAAAGCCTTTTTGAAATCGATAAAGGCACAATAAAAACGGCCCTTGGGTTTGATAAGATATTTTGTACACAAAGATTGAAGAATAAATATATTGTCTGATGGAGAATAGTTGGGTCTAAATCCAGCTTGGGATTCTGATAACAGGTCATTCACATCTAACCATGTTCTAATACGTTTTTCAATTACAACAGAAAACAATTTGCCAGTCACATTTAAGAGAGAAATACCTCGGTAGTTGCTTGGATCAGATATGCTTCCAGATTTATGTAGAGAAATATTTCTGTATAAATTACCAACAAAGACAATAAATAGATCTTAACTGCTCGCCAACATGTCTCTTGATGATTAACTCTTTATTTATGTTTACAATGTCCGCGACCTTGAAGCCAGTCACTGACACCAATTTACATACCTATCCCTCGAGGGAGAAAACTACTCCTGTCTCTCTCAGTGATATAGTGTACAGTGAACTGAATACTGTACGGCTGGGTCATACATAAAACGTAAACAAGATGCTAACTAGAACAAATCTAGTCGATAGACGTAGGAGTGCTATGTGTCTGACATGGGAGTGTTATGTGTCTGACAAGGTACGTGTGATGTGTCTGAAATGGGAGTGTTATGCGTCTGACATGGTAGTGTTGTGTGTCTGATATGGTACGTGTGATGTGTCTGGCATGTGAGTGTTATGTGTCTGACATGGTACGTGTGATGTGTCTGGCATGTGAGCGTTATGTGTCTGACATGCTAGTGTTATATGTCTGACATGGTACGTGTTATGCGTCTGACATGGTAGTGTTACGTGTCTGATATGGGAGTGTTATGTGTATGACAGGGTACGTGTTATGTGTTTGACATGGGAATGTTATGTGTCAGACATGGTACGTGTTATATGTCTGACGTGATAGTGTTATGTGTCTGACATGGTACGTGTTGTGTCTGACATGCTAGTGTTATATGTCTGACATGGTACGTGTTATGTGTCCGACATGGTAGTGTTACGTGTCTGATATGGGAGTGTTATGTGTATGACAGGGTACGTGTTATATGTCTGACGTGATAGTGTTATGTGTCTGACATGGTAGTGTTATGTGCCTGACATGGTATTGTTACGTGTCTGATATGGTACGTGTTATGTGTCTGAAATGGTAGTTATGTGTCCGACATGGTAGTGTTATGTGCCAGACATGGTAGTGTTACGTGTCTGATATGGGAGTGTTATGTGTCCGACATGGGAGTGTTATGTGTCAGACATGGTACGTGTTATATGTCTGACGTGATAGTGTTATGTGTCTGATATTGTAGTGTTGTGTCTGACAGGATACGTGTTATGTGTCTGACAGGATATGTGTTGTGTCTGACAGGGTAGTGTTATGTGTCTGAAATGGTTGTGAGTGAGTGAGTGAGTGGGTTTGGTTTAACGCCGCTTTTAACAGTATTCCAGTCATATCGCGGCGTGTCAGCTTAATGTGGGAGGAAAGCCCGAAGTGATGCAGGCCTCAGACGTTTACAACTTCGGTGAAACCCACGAGCACGGGTATGGTGCTGACAAACCTAGAAACATAATCGGGGCAAACCGGGATTCGAACCCACAATCATAGGTTTCTGGCGTGCCCAAGGGACGCAACTCTGCACAGCGAATCGCGGCGCCTTAGACGACTGGGCCACCCGTGCCCCCTGAAATGGTAGTGTTATGTGTCCGACATGGTAGTGTTATGTGCCTGACATGGAAGTGTTATGTGTCAGACAGTGTACGTGTTATGTGTCTGACATGGGAGTGTTATGTGACAGACATGGTACGTGTCATAGTGTCTGACGTGATAGTGTTATGTGTCTGACATTGTAGTGTTGTGTCTGACAGGATACGTGTTATGTGTCTGACAGAGTACGTGTTATGTGACATGGTTTACAATTGCATACATGAGTGGGATAACATCAGTAAGTAATGATAACAGAAGGATAATACTGTCACAACATGATAGACAGAGAACACATAGTTGGAAGCCAATGGGACATGAAACCAAATAAACAGGATAAGTTTGCATAGGTGTGGTGATTGCTGCTTAATGAGTTCATAGTAGTATGTTATCCCAGTCATGTATGCAATTGTTGTTACTGTTAATCCTCCACCACTATATTTATTCTGTGCAATGTTCCTCATTCAGTCTTGCTTACCAACGGTATAAGGATCTATACCGAAACGTCTCCTTTACAGTATTAAAGAAGTTGTTATCCATAAATTGTATCTACGTAAAGACACGATGTATTTTGTGAGTCAACGTCCTATCCCCTTTTAACCCTACATGTCGGTGTAAAACAAAATTAAAACAACCAATGGGTGGACGAGAATTTCGGCATCTTTATGGGTCCTCAGGGCTGCACTTTCACGTACACTTGACGACATGGCTCGTCAATAGTTTGCTGTATATGATGTCACGTCGTCACGATCAGCCATATACGACGTTCTTCATCGTGACACGTTGATTTATAGACGTCGTCCGGCACATCTTAACGTTTCGTACCCCGTGTCCGTGACTGACCAAACTATATTTGGAGGCTGCCAACCCTTTTTTGGTTCGTGGTCTATTTAAAGGGTACGTACTGGACTCAGCAGTAAGGTACTGATAGAAAATCGTATTTGGTACGCAGATTCAACAATTAAATAATAATATTCGTGGTATTCGGGATTCAGGGGTGAACAAATGAGACTCAGAGTGAAAACTTAGATGGTATTCGGGATTCAGGGGTGAACAAATGAGACTCAGAGTGAACATTTAGAGATAGTATTCGGGATTCAGGGGTGAACAAATGAGACTCAGAGTGAAAAGTTAGAGATCTTATTCGGGACTTAGGGGTGAACAAATGAGACTCAGAGTGAACATTTAGATGGTATTCGGGATTCACGGGAAGAGTTTTTTTCACCCCAATCTCTCACGAACCCTTGACACAATGAGATATTAAGAAAGTTAACCCTTGCCATTAAGAAAGTGTTTCCTGTCTTAGAAGGATGGCTACTCAGACGTGATGCCTGTGGTTAAAATGATAATTGAAGGTATATTATGACCATGTACGGATGCGTCCAAACTGAAAAAAAACAATATTAAATAAAACATGAATCGAGTCGTATTACAAAGCCTTTATTACCTGTCCATACACAAGCATATATCGGCTTTCGTAATTGACTTTCGAGGCACATGCAGATTGTGTTCATATCGGATCATGTGTAGGCAAATAATGCCACTTGACAAGGCTACGTGTGGATTTATGGAAAGAGCTTCTGATAATTTATTGCTATTTATAAATATCTACAAATAGCAATTAACTATTAGAACGGATATGTTATTTTAAAATACACCGGGAAAACTGTATTTCATATTTAGGTATGGACACAAATCTCAAATATGTCTATTTTAAAAAAAATCAAACCTTTGGGATATCTCAAATTAAATTTCATTCACAGATATCACTCGCAAAAACCCATTCAAACAACGCAACGCATCCAAATTGGGAAAGCTTCGGAGACTACTTGAGTCCAACTATGATAGTTCCTTGTCCCCCGGGGCTTGGCTGGCCCAATAGTCTGAGGCGCCGCAATACACTTTGCAGAGTTGCGTCCTTTGACGCCAGAAACCTATGATTGAGGGTTCGAATCCCGGTTCGCCCCGATGTTTCTAGGTTTACCAGCACCATACCCGTGCTCGTGGGTTTCACGAAAGTGGTAAACATCTGAGACCTGCATCACTTCGGGCTTTCCTCTTAAATAAGGTGACACGCCGTGGTGTGACAGTAAAAGTAAAACTGTTCAAGCGGCGTTAAACCCAACTCACTCACTCCATGCCTGCTGTCAATGAACTATGTTCCTATGATCGGGGATGTCATTAAACAAGAATAAAGTAGTAATGAAAACTTGGTAATAGAGTTGGTTGCTGAAGAATATTTGTTTTTCAATTTCCAAGGCATGTCATAACCATTATAACATGATCCACTAGCACTGTATGACGTCATCAATCGCTGCACACCAGAAATTGAGTGAAATACGTAAATGCGCACGTTCTTATAGATTTGCTCTAAGAGATGCAGGCTAATATCGAATACCGTATTCGACGTAATAAGCGCCACGCCCTTATTAGCGCCCACGGCGATATTTGCTAATATATTGGCTAGTGAACAATCCCAATTAGCACCCTTCCGATTGAACAATGTACACTAACTAGCCTTATATATTAGTGTATAATACGCACTCGTATGTGATATGGATTCTTAATTTCGGGCAATTAAATTCTGGAATAGTATATCTGTCGTTTATAAAGCGCACATACTTTTCTTTTGTATCATTTCAGGCTGTCAGCATAAAACACTTTCACCAAAATTATATTCTAATAAGAGCCCCCTATTTCTAATTTTGAGAGTGCCCTGGGCGCTTATTATGTCGAATACGGTATGCTGTTTTATCATCCAAAACTGGCTCCCACAGGAGATATTGCTTGGATGAGATCAAGCGATATCTACACTGTAGATATCGCTGCAATGAAATTACATCACAATGCTTTGCAGACCATTGTGACATCACTGGTTACCATGACGTCACAATCAAATGACATCACTAATGGCTCTGCTACTGAAGCTGTTTGCAGTACTTTTTACACTGAAGACACTGCTAATTACTGTCTACAAATTAAAAAAGTTTAAAGAACGATGTTGGATGATAAATAAAATCTCACCCTCGTGGCAAGCCTCGGAAATTTTCCACTTTAATCAACTCATGTTGATATATTTGATATCAAAAGACACTCGGGTGAGATTCTCTATTTCTCGTAGAAGAAGGCTTAGCCATACGTTAACATTTTGAAAAGTTAAATACCATTAATGATACTTTTATGCAAAAATGCGTGACATTGGAAACGGTAAAACAATTTAAATTACATTGTTGGCGTAATATACAGACAATATTGTTTACGTCGTGTTTACTAACACCCCAATAGCTTATGACGTCACAGTATACAAGTGTTGAACGAAGTCACGTTGACATTGATAGACTTTCGACCTTTTTTCCAGATAGAAACAGAGACCATAAAATAGATATGATCTCTGATGGAAGATATTCTTCACAGCTCATAATTTTGTTACTTTCTTGTATATATAGTAGATCTATTGAATTTACGAAACTCACTCAAGAATTTACTTCATTAATATGCATAAAAATGTCTGACACTCGTCTCGTGATATGTGAAATTGAATTCAAAATTATTTGGAAGATTAGAATGGTCCGCTGCTTTTCAGCTCCTTTTCGCGTTGTTGCCGCCGTGCTTGGATCTAGAATATCCAACAGGTGGCCGCTGTTGTATTATGTTTAAAACGATAAACTATAGTAGTAATATAGTTTAATATTACACGTATCGCATACCGATTAAGAATATATAGTTGTTGTGTATTGTCTGTGTGAGGTGTATCTAATTTCACATGCGTCATGCGTACGGTATGTTTGTCACGTCCACGAGAGTTGAAAATAATGACTTCTCCCGAACGCAAAGGTCAAGGTAACATTTGCGGGACATCCCTACCTCGCTGCTTGACAAGTTTGTTATCGCGGAGTTGCTTTTAGTCTGTCACGATGGCAAGTTCTGAAAAACAGAGGAATATCATTGTTGCTATTGACGGCAGCGATTCTGCAGACTTTGCACTTGATTGTAAGTATTGGCACGAATATAACTTCCATATGAGCACCGTATTTGCGTATTACATTGTAAACAATACACTGTGCGCCGTTTTGATGTCTCTTGCTCATTGCATCATCAGCACAATGCACATGAACGTTTAAAAAAAAAAAAAATTAACATTGGAAACATTTCTAAATGTTTTCAAATTTGCATCTTGATACCAAATATCAATTCAGTTGCATCATGCACAATGCACTTCTGTATCGTCAGATACCATAAACAATGATAAAATAGATGGTCTATCGTGAATACTTTCTCTGTAATCTACGGATTTAGCTGGGTAGATATCGCGACTAGGGGACTCTGTAATGCATTTAGGTGGAACGTTGGGTCGCAGGCTAGTGACATGTGGCATGCTTCACGTGATTTCGAAGAATACCACGAATGTCATGTCATTGCTTGTGTCAATAATCGTTTAGACTAATTCGGGTGGGTTATTTCAACGTTAAATTGAAGAAGATCAGTTAGTGTAACAGAAATGTCTGTTACATGTAACACGCAGTCTACAATGTTGCTGAATTTAATGATTCAAACAGCCACAGGTTTTGCAACCCCAAGCTGAGAGCCGCATATGGATCTACAGTGAAGACCTGACAGTAATCACACTCCATGTCATGTCTTGACTGTAGGACCCCCCTCGTCACACTTGGCTATGCATCCCTCAGAACTCTAAATGTAGATTACTTTCATTCATTCTCAATTTGTATGCACAACATACATATAGTAGGCCCATGCAATATGTTGTATGCGAATAGCACACAATATTTTGTATGCATGATTGCATGTGCATACACTATGCAATATTTTGTGTGCATACAGTACACAGTATTTTGTTTGCACACCATGCATATAGTGTGCAATATTTTATATACACAGGAATATAGCATGCAATATTTGTATGCATATAGTTTGCAATATTTTGTTTGCACATGAATATAACATGCAATATTTCATATAAACATGAATATAGCATGCAATATTTAATATACACATGAATATAGCATGCAATTTTTTGTATGCACATGCATATAGTATGCAATATTTTGTATGCACATGCATCTAGTATGCAATATTTTGTATGCACATGGATATAGTATGTAATATCTATATGCGTATCATGCATATTTTCTGCTAATTTTTGCATGCATATCATGCATTTAGTACACAATATTTTGCATCCCATAAAATTCATGAACAGCAGACACTGAGTCTGGCATACAAAACGTGGGAAGTCATCATCATGACACACAGGTCAGCCATCCAAGATTTCAGTCCTGTGTCTGTGTAATGCACCTTGATACACAAGCTCTACCACTGTCTCCAGTGCAAACATTCTTGTTATCAAAACACATGTTAGATGTTGACCACAACTGGATCACACAATAGCCAAAGATATGCAGCAAGACCATTAGTTGATGATGTCCGATAGCTAATTAATGATTTTGCATACAAAACCAAACTTCAAGCTCCTGTGTCAGGAGTGTGACAGTTATGGTTAGTTGACTCGGAGCTATGGATTGACCCAGTAAAAATGTCTGCCGTTATTCTCTGTTGTGATTTACAGCACACTTCTACATCGCAGTTTGGCAAAATGTCCTCAGACCTATGTAGCTATCTGTATGTACAGTATTCGACGTAATAAGCGCCCCGCTCTAATAAGCGCCCACGGCGATATTTGCTAATATATTGGCTAGTGAACAATCCCAATCAGCACCCCTTCCGATTGATCAATGTACACAAGACTTATGTATTCGTGTATAATACGCACTTATGTGTTATATGCACCCTTAATTATGGGCAATTAAATTCTGGAAAAAGATATCTGTCGTATGTCAACATTTCAGGCTGTCAGCATAAACAAAATTTACGATCTTTCAGCTCTGTTTTTTTCACCAAAATAATATTCCAATAAGAGCCCCCTATTTCTAATTTTGAGAGCGCCCTGGGCGCTTATTACGTCGAATACGGTATATCTTAGCAGCTTAATCTCCAGGAATAGCTACAAGATTGCGGCTCCTGCAGCGTTAAGCAACAACAACTCACTCCTTGAAAGCTTACTCTCCAGGAAGAAGTCCAAGATTGTTGCTGCTGCAGCGTTAAGCACCTCTTCCTTAGGCAAGGGAGCTACTGACTGTAAAAAGTCCAGTTTCCACCCTTGCAGAACTAGGCTAGAATTTCTGGGCTTTATCGTAGTGCCACCAGTGGCTATTACGAGTTATATCCCTTCTATGTCCCTCCTATTGACCAATCAGATTCCACCTCTCATATCACTTACATTTGCTTCAAACAAAAGGGTGGTGCCAAGTCAAGACGATCTGATCGATAATCAAGATCTACATTGTAATAAAACGGGTCTTACTTTGCAAAGTGCATCATATCAGGTGAGCACCGTGATTAAGAACATGAGAAGATTTGGAAAATTTCTGTTGATGGCATTTTGATGGTATACATGCTTTGCGAATCCTGCAATCAACCGAAATCTGCACTGCAAGAATGGGAACCAGATGTTGATTTTGTTACGCGATTTTGATTGGACTATGCATAGATTTGTTAGTCCAGCCATTTTATAACTCCATAATTCCAGCATGGGTTGAAACTGGACTCATGTAGTCCGTAAACTCCCTTGCCTCAGGAAGATGCGTTAAGTAATAACAACTCACTCCTCAACAGCTTACTCTCCAGAAATAGCTGCAAGATTATAGCTGTTGCAGCGTTAAGCATATACAACTCATTCCTTAACAGATTACTCTCCAGGAATAGCTGCAAAATTATAGCTGTTGCAGCAATAAGCAATAACTACTCACTCCGTAACAGATTACATTCAAATACATTGATACATGTTGTTGCATGTATGTTGATAGCAGTTTTATATCAGTATGGACATCAGATGTTAGGCAGGTATGTGTGTCGACCAGGTTGATAGCACTTGATCATGCAGTCACACCATGCCAGGTAACATCTGACGTGTGTATTGGGTTATCTTTGGCCATTGAGCTCCATGTGGTTTGATGCTGGTGCATTCAAACTGAGGTGCAGGCCTTGATGATGAACAGATAAAAAATGTTGCATTATTAAAAAATGCAGGGCTTGCAATATTCATGTTGCTGTTATTACTTATTTGTTATAATAGCAAACCACTTATACCGGCTTTTGATCATGTCTGTTTGTTGAAACTAGACCATTGTTGGAACTGACCCGTGAAGATCAGGGGTCAAATTGGCCTTCAACAACCCATGGTTGCCAAAAAAGGTGACTATGCTTGTCGTAAGAGGCGACTAATGGGATCGGGTGGTCAGGCTTGCTGACTTGGTGATGCATGTCATTCAAGATGATTGATGCTTATGATGTCATTCACTGGATTGTCTGGTCCAGACTCGATTATTTACAGACTGCCGTCATATAGCTGTGATATTGGTGATTGTGGCGCAAGTACGTGCAAATGCAATTATAAGAGTATTGAATGTTGGTAGACGTAATGCTGCATCTCGATTGATGCTTGGATGATGGTGTGCTTGTAACCATGGTTACAGGGTACTGCAAGCATGTCCACCAGAAGCATGACCACGTGGTGCTGGTGCACTGTCCAGAGCTCAACGGGATGCTGCACTCTCAACGCTGGAACAACTGTGAGTACTTTCATCAGCAATCTGTAATGGTGTGTTTCAGTGAGGCATGCCTTGGTGATGTTTAAGTGAGGCATGCCTCGGTGATGTTTTAGGGAGGCATGTCTCGGTGATGTTTTAGGGAGGCATGTCTAGGTGTCGTTCCAATAAGGTTTGCCTAGGTGATGTGTTAGTGAAGCATGCCAAGGTGATGTTTCAGTGAAGCATATCTGGGAGATGTTTTTCACTGAGGCATATCTATGTCATGTTTCAGTGTGGCATGCCAAGGTTATGTTTCAGTGAGGCATGTCCAGTTGATGTTTCCGTGGTGTACATGTTTGACTGGGAAGTGAATCACATGTTTGTGTTGTTTCAGCGGCTCTGTGTTTGACTGTGAAGTGATGTAAATGTTTGTGTTGTTTCAGCCGTGTATGTGTTTGACCGGGAAGTGAATAACATGTTTGTGTTGTTTCAGCAATGCTTGTGTTTGACTGTGAAGTGATGTAAATATTTGTGTTGTTTCAGCGGTGTATGTGTTTGACCGGGAAGTGATGTATACGTTTGTGTTGTTTCAGCGGTGTACGTGTTTGACCGGGAAGTGATGTACATGTTTGTTTTGTTTCAGCGGTGTATGTGTTTGACCGGGAAGTGATGTACATGTTTGTGTTGTTTCAGCGATGTACGTGTTTGACCGGGAAGTGATGTACATGTTTGTGTTGTTTCAGCGGGGTACGTGTTTAAACGGGAAGTGATGTACATGTTTGTGTTGTTTCAGGGGTTTTCGTGTTTGACCGGGATGTGAATTATATGTTTGTGTTGTTTCAGCGGTGTACGTGTTTGACTGAGAAGTGAATTACATGTTTGTGTTGTTTCAGGGGTGTAGGTGTTTGACCGGGAAGTGATGTACATGTTTGTGTTGTTTCAGCGGGGTACATGTTTGACCAGGAAGTGATGTACATGTTTGTGTTGTTTCAGCGGTGTACGTGTTTGACTGAGAAGTGAATTACATGTTTGTGTTGTTTCAGGGGTGGACGTGTTTGACGGGGAAGTGATGTACATGTTTGTGTTGTTTCAGCGGGGTACATGTTTGACCGGGATGTGAATTACATGTTTGTGTTGTTTCAGGGGTGTATGTGTTTGACCGAGAAGTGATGTACATGTTTGTGTTGTTTCAGCGGGGTACATGTTTGACCAGGAAGTGATGTATATACGTTTGTGTTGTTTCAGCGGGGTACGTATTTAAACGGGAAGTGATGTACATGTTTGTGTTGTTTCAGGGGTGTACGTGTTTGACCGGGATGTGATGTACATGTTTGTTTTGTTTCAGCGGTGTATGTGTTTGACCGGGAAGTGATGTACATGTTTGTGTTGTTTCAGCGGTGTACGTGTTTGACCGGGAAGTGATGTACATGTTTGTGTTGTTTCAGCGGGGTACGTGTTTAAACGGGAAGTGATGTACATGTTTGTGTTGTTTCAGGGGTTTTCGTGTTTGACCGGGATGTGAATTATATGTTTGTGTTGTTTCAGCGGTGTACGTGTTTGACTGAGAAGTGAATTACATGTTTGTGTTGTTTCAGGGGTGTAGGTGTTTGACCGGGAAGTGATGTACATGTTTGTGTTGTTTCAGCGGGGTACATGTTTGACCAGGAAGTGATGTACATGTTTGTGTTGTTTCAGCGGTGTACGTGTTTGACTGAGAAGTGAATTACATGTTTGTGTTGTTTCAGGGGTGGACGTGTTTGACGGGGAAGTGATGTACATGTTTGTGTTGTTTCAGCGGGGTACATGTTTGACCGGGATGTGAATTACATGTTTGTGTTGTTTCAGGGGTGTATGTGTTTGACCGAGAAGTGATGTACATGTTTGTGTTGTTTCAGCGGGGTACATGTTTGACCAGGAAGTGATGTATATACGTTTGTGTTGTTTCAGCGGGGTACGTATTTAAACGGGAAGTGATGTACATGTTTGTGTTGTTTCAGGGGTGTACGTGTTTGACCGGGATGTGAATTACATGTTTGTGTTGTTTCAGGGGTGTATGTGTTTGACCGAGAAGTGATGTACATGTTTGTGTTGTTTCAGCGGTGTACGTGTTTGACCAGGAAGTGATGTACATGTTTGTGTTGTTTCAGCTGTGTAGGTGTTTGACTGGGAAGTGATGTACATGTTTGTGTTGTTTCAGCGGTGTACGTGTTTGACCAGGAAGTGATGTACATGTTTGTGTTGTTTCAGCGGTGTACGTGTTTGACCGAGAAGTGATGGAGGCCATGTTGAAGGATGAACAGCACAAAATCCAAAAAGATCTTGAAAAGTTTGCAGAAAAACTCAAGCATCATGGGGTTAGTAGATGCCTGTAATTTACGATGCTACGTTTATCTTGAACCATCATCAGTAACATCATAAAAAATATTGATGATGCCTGTAGTATCACTGGAACTGAAGATATCCAATAATCAATGTGTGCAGTAACTGGATTTCAATTATTTATAAACCCTTCTGCTGTTGCAGCTATCATTGATGTCTTGATTTGGAATGCAGTGGATTCCATTGGTATTGTTGATTATTTGTCACTGTTGATTGTTTGTTGCTCATTATATCAATCACTGGATTGTTGTCCTGGCTCCATTGGGGCGGTCGGGTAGCCTAGTGGTTAAAGCGTTCGCTCGTCACGCCGAAGACCCGGGTTCGATTCCCGACATGGGTACAATGTGTGAAGCCCATTTCTGGTGTTCCCCGCCGTGATATTGCTGGACTATTGCTAAAAGCGGCGTAAAACCATATTCACTCACTCACTCACTCCTGGCTCCATTGTTCACAGTCACATAGCTGGAATATTGTTAAGTACAGCATTAAACAACAAAAAACAAGATGGTAAGATACAAAAACATATGTAGTTGCATCAGATTTGATGCAGAAAGTTAACTTTGGAAATGTGAACACGACAAGATTCATACAGGATAGGTGTCATCAGTAAGTCAGTGTGAATTAATTTAAGTGGTCATAGACTTTGACTAAAGTTCTGGATCATTTGGTGTTGTTTGGACTCCACAGATTGGTGGGAAGGTGAAGAGTGTCATGGCTTCCAAACCTGGTGAGGGGATTATCAAAGCTTGTGAGGAGGAACATGGCGAGATGGTCATCATTGGGTCACGTGGTCTGGGCACGCTCAGACGTACCTTCATGGGCAGCGTCAGCGACTACGTGGTCCACCACTCCCATGTTCCCGTGTTTGTCTGTCGAAACAAGGAACACCATCACCACCACCACCACCATCAGGGTGAACAACAGAAGTGTGCCTAGATGTTCCAGGAATGTCCTGGACTTGATCTCTGCATCGAGTGCACATGTACCAAAGAATCACCGTGACACCGTTTTTTTATCTATGGATTTTTTGTTGTGAAATTTCTGGACGATAGATCGGACAAAATAATAATAGACATGTTTCAGAATATTTTTGTTAGTTTTTAAAATGTTTTCAGAATATGTTGATATATGCTGTGTGTGTTTACCTGCTGAAAGCACAAGTTTTTGGTGTGAACACACTGGTTGTTTTTTGCCAGAATGAAAAAACTATTAATTTTGGAATATTTTTTTCTCTCCACTTTTCACATGTCTTTGTACGGCAGAATCAATGGACTAATAAAAAAGTCTTGCCTTCTTATCAGAATATCAGTATAAACAGGTGTTATTTAGGAAAAGAACACTATGAATCAGTTGTCAGATTTTCTTCAGTGTTATTTCAGCGATAATTCTTGAAATATTTCTGAGCCTGGTCAACTGTTCCTTAACTGAAAATGAAATTTGTTCAACTTTTGAAATTTGTTGATCATTTGCCTAAAAAATGTACATAAAAATATTTGTGATTTTCATGCTGTCATTTGTTATTTCTGCAAGATTCTATACTTCATATCATTGATAGAAAGCATTAAAATCTCAACAGACAAATGAATGTTAAATTTATGTAATACTCTTCACCCAGCACTGTTGTTTCCTGTGAGGGAAATAGCTATTCATTATTGTTTTTGTTTTATAGATGCTTTTGTTTACAGATGTTTTTTCATTTATCACAATTATTGTTTGTGCTACATACAGTATGTGTCACTGCTTGAGTACCAGTCAAGATCTGGACATGATAATATGTCCGGTTCCACAAAGTGATCGTATTGCTACGACTGTTATAAGTCTATGTTAAAGAATGGGAGTTACGATCATCATCTTAGCGCTAAGATCCCTTTTTAGAATGGCGCCCTAACTGATTGTGGGACATAATATCCAGTTGGGATCAGTCATCATCCAATCGATGTAATGGCCGCTGTGCCTACAATATCATGTACGTATCTAACTCTGGCAGTTCACAATATTCCCTCTCTGTGACATAATATTGGTCTTCATCCAATCGACTAGATGTAATGGTGGCCGCTGTGCCTACAATATCATGTACATATCTAACTCTGGCAGTTCACAATATTCACTCTCTTATTTGTTAAGAAATGACCAACTTTAATTGAGATGATGTGTACTTCTTTCTGCAGGATATGTTATTACTAAGGCCTTACTCTTTTGCCTGGGTTAGAGATCCACCAAGGTTGCAGAGTTGCGTCCCTTGGGTATGCCACAAACCTATGATTGTGGGTTTGAATCCAGGTTTCCCCCTGATTATGTTTCTAGGTTTATCAGCACCATACCCGTGCTCGTGCATCACTACGGGTTTCCTCCCACATTTAAGTTGATACGCCGTGATATATGACGGGAATACTGTAAAAAAGGGGGATTAAACACAACTCACTCGCTCACTACAGATCCCCCAACCTTATAAATTGACAATTCAGATTGTAAATGAAATTGGTATGATAATGTTTTTTATGCCGATGATGGTAAAGTTAGTTTTCACTATGAAATGACAATGAAATGTCTCTGTAAGATTTTAGATAAAATTAATAAGAATCACCTCCCAATCCAAACCAAACGTTAAATGATTAAAAACAATGCATTTTTTAATATACTTTTTTTTTCGACCTGCCAATCAAACTTTATTCCATCATATCCGTAAACTACAAAAAATGTCTGGCCTTACTACTCAACCGATATTAAGATATTCCATGGTGTATGTACATTATATACGTAACTTGGTATTAACTTTTACACTTTGTGAAAGAATTAGCAGCATTGAGCCCAAGACTGGTTCAGAATTGGCAGCAAGGACATTATTTGGGCAGGAAATGCTTACTCTTTTTGCAAACTCATGTGTCATCACTGATTTTCAGTGATCCATTCATATCATTTTCACTTCTATTCTGCCATGTACACCAAATGGAATCAGTTTCAGAGACTGTATATTCTCTAGCATTGACCCTTCATATATACATATTGAAATCATCAGTGTTTGGTCAGAAACATCAATTGAAAAATTACTTAAGGTTATCACCACAAAATAATAAAATCAATACTTGCCATAATACTGACTCAAAGCATGTATAGAGACTTCAGGGACCAGTGACTTGTTCAGATTGCAACTGGTCATATGAATATCAAGAGTGTTTAATTGTTTTGTATGGTGAGATTGGAGGTATATGAAGTGCTTGATTTGGAATGTCAAAAATGCTTCAATATATTACGATTCTGGAGATTGTGTCGGATCTTCTACACCAAATTGTATGGTTTATGGTGAATGTGGTCAATACTCATTATATATTCATTTCCAGATTACATGTTTAAAATTCAGGTTTAAAATTCATAATATACATGAACAGCCTCTCCCTAAATTATTATTGTGTAATTTTTTTTAACCGAATCACTGCTAGATTGGGAGAAAACGTGTACAGCTGATTACTGTTTTCTGGCTTAGTTTACGAGAAAATACACACAGTAATCTAAATCCCTGCATATAAAACAATGCCTTGCAGAACAGGAAATGCAACTGAAATGGTAAAACATCCTCGATAGTTATGTTTGATCTCAAATTTGTATTGAACAACTTTATCATCACCTATTCGTTTACTTGAATTTGTTGGATAGGATGTAATTTTTTTCTGCGCATAATACTCACATTTTTTCCCCCAAATACTGAATCACCTAGATGCGCCTTATACTTGGGTGCACACTTTACTCAAGAAAATATGGTATATGTATATGTGTGTATTATATGATGGTGTTCTGCATTGAGACTTCTTTCCCTTCCTGTCAAGATTTGTATCCAGAATCTTATTGATTGTGTGCAATAGTCAGCATTATTACTGTTCCTTGGATGGTCTCGGCCACAGAGGTCTGCAGGAGTCCTCTTGATCATGAAAATGTAGAAGTCCATTAACATTTTCTTTGAAATAAAACTTTATTTAGAGCCTGTGTCATTGTTCTATATGTCAGTGGTTGAAGTAATGGTGATTTTCAGATATTCTCAAATGTTCTTGTGCCAAAACAGAATGAAGGAGAGATCTGGGTCCAAGTACTCTACATACATGTACAAGACCTGATGACTTCCCTTGTGTGCATACTCTACTGTGTGACAGCCATGCTGTAAGGTTTGATGTCCATCAGTGTACATAGCTTACTGTGTCATGACGTCCGTCAGTTGTCACCCTGTCTGGCGCTTGGCATTATGGGGCTAAAACAAGGACTGGTCGGCTCGGAGTTGGTATACTGTGTCTGAGGGGGGGTATTCATGTTACACTGCTGCATGGTATCTCAGTGGACTAGCACTATAAGATGGGCATTAGTCTGGACCAGTACAAGCAGCCACACACACATGCATCCACGTCGCTACGGAAGTACAATAATCTTGACTGTGACGATAAACCCCATTTCACCTCACCTAACCTCCATCAGTGTACATAATATACTGTGTGATGACATCCATCAGTGTGCATACTATACTGTGTTATGACATCCATCAGTGTACATACTATACTGTGTGATGGCATCCATCAGTGTACATACTATACTGTGTGATGGCATCCATCAGTGTACATACTATACTGTGTGACATCCATCAGTGTACATACTATACTGTGTGATGGCATCCATCAGTGTACATACTATACTGTGTGATGACATCCATCAGTGTACATACTATACTGTGTGATGGCATCCATCAGTGTACATAATATACTGTGTGATGGCATCCATCAGTGTACATACTATACTGTGTGATGACATCCATCAGTGTACATACTATACTGTGTGATGGCATCCATCAGTGTACATAATATACTGTGTGATGGCATCCATCAGTGTACATACTATACTGTGTGATGGCATCCATCAGTGTACATACTGTACTGTGTTATGACATCCATCAGTGTACATACTATACTGTGTGATGACATCCATCAGTGTACATACTATACTGTGTGATGACATCCATCAGTGTACATAATATACTGTGTGATGACATCCATCAGTGTACATACTATACTGTGTAATGGCATCCATCAGCGTACATAATATACTGTGTGATGGCATCCATCAGTGTACATAATATACTGTGTGATGGCATCCATCAGTGTACATACTATACTGTGTGATGGCATCCATCAGTGTACATACTATACTGTGTGATGGCATCCATCAGTGTACATAATATACTGTGTGATGGCATCCATCAGTGTACATAATATACTGTGTGATATCATCCATCAGTGTACATACTATACTGTGTGATGGAATCCATCAGTGTACATACTATACTGTGTGACATCAATCAGTGTACATACTATACTGTGTGATGACATCCATCAGTGTACATATTATACTGTGTGACATCCATCAGTGTGCATACTATACTGTGTTATGACATCCATCAGTGTACATACTATACTGTGTGATGACATCCATCAGTGTACAGACTATACTGTGTGATGACATCCATCAGTGTACATACTATACTGTGTGATGACATCCATCAGTGTACATACTATACTGTGTGATGACATCCATCAGTGTACATACTATACTGTGTGATGACATCCATCAGTGTACATACTATACTGTGTGATGACATCCATCAGTGTACATACTATACTGTGTGATGGCATCCATCAGTGTACATACTATACTGTGTTATGACATCCATCAGTGTACATACTATACTGTGTGACATCCATCAGTGTACATACTATACTGTTTGATGACATCTATCAGTGTACATACTATACTGTGTGATGACATCCATCAGTGTACATACTATACTGTGTGACATCAATCAGTGTCGACTTTGATTGTTAAACTATGTGTCTCTTTTTTATACACCCGCTTGTTTAACCTGGATAATGAAGACACTGAACATAGTGTTTAAAGGCACTCTGATGCTATGCCCATGGGATGACCCCAGTAAAGGATACCGGAACTATTTAGTGACACTAACAATGTAACATACCTCAATGACGCACATATACGACAATATTCAATATTTATTTCAACAGACATA